CCCCTCTTTGGGTACTTCTGACTAGCCTCAAAGAAGCTTAATATGGGAAGAAAAACTGCCCTGTGAATCCAGATTATTTATAGCTACTCCCCCAAAAGAAGGAAAAGAAAATTTGAACTTTCTTACAGCATTAGATTTATTTTTCTCTGAAGATTTGCTCTGTGCCTTGATCTGACAATACATGGTCCCTGTGTTTGTCTTTTAAGTTTCTGAAGCATGGTTTATTTATAAAGGAGATGAAGTTTTGCAAACCATCTTTAAGTGGATTACAGTTAACCAGAGCTCTGCCTACATTAGCATTCAGCCTGTTAAAATGCTTGCTCATTTGGAAATTTTAATCTGGAAATCGCAGATGCAAAATTAGACTAAAAAGGAAAATGGATTGACAATGGAATGTTCTGACTGTTTGAGCCACTGTTAAGTGTGTGTTTGTTTGTTTTTCTGTGTTCTGGAGTATGTGAAAGGGGGACTTTGGGGGCTGGGGAAGGGGCAGGAAGGAGGTTTCTGCTCTGTGTACTTGATGCACTTTATTTTTTAGAATCATTCTAAAAGCTACCAGATAAAAGGATAGTTGCATTTAGACTGATGCACTGATGATGACCTTAAACACCTCAGATATTTCAACATATATTATTTGAGCATATGTCTTTATGCTAAAGACACTTTATAGTTCTGTTCAGAAGTATACTTCCTTGAAAGATGCTTTGCCTTACTTCTTATTTTCTATTTCAAGAGCTGCAATATTTGCTTTAACTTTCTACAAAATGGGGAAGCCCCTCAGCAGACCAGACTGTTTACGTCAGAATCCCCCATGTGTAGGGAAGGGTGAAGAAGAGGAGGACCTAAATATTGAAGACTGTTATGTCCCACAGCGGTCGATCTATGATACTGTTAGACTAAATGAACAGATAGACTCCGGTTCAAAAGGTAGCCTGTCTTCCAGGCATTTTGGGGATCGGACTTTACCCTACAGTCACAGGACACTGGATGTTAGTTCTTTATGCTCCAACGGTGCCCTTGCTTCTTCCAATGTGTTTGAGCTGAGAGGTCGGGAAGCTCACACCCTAGATGAAAAGATGATCTTTGATGCGCTCAAACTAAATAGTGATATCATTCGAACCACAGGATTACCCAAAGGCAAATCCCACGCAGAAAAGAAAGAGCATAGACGGTCGTGGCGAATGTTTGTCCCAGCCAACTTTATGGATTATGCAAACAAAAGTGAAAGCTCCTTTGTTGAACCTACTGATATGTCAGATGCTGTTACGAAGGCCAACAAGTGCAGGTGGGGGACTAACTCTCTCACGTCAGAGGAGGACGACTCTGGTTTATGCAGCCCTCCAGCGGAGAGGGAAGAAAAACAGGGCATTTTAACTGGAGATCAGTCCCGAATCAGAAGCTTGCCTTCTGCTGAAGATATTCACATAGCAGAACAACATGCACCGTTTTTTTCTGTCAATTCCATTAGTGAACAGAAAATCCCATTGCTTTCATGTAGAAGTGCCCACCCTGATGAGAACTTCAAAATGATTTTACATGGTGTTCCTCCACCAGAGGAAACAAATGGCGTGAGTGGTCAGAGGGAAATCCACGGTGAAAACTGCTGCCGGCAGAATGATTTGAAAGAGAGCACTATGAAGTGTGACCCATTAGTTCTGCCAAGAGATGGAGAAAATGAGTGTATTTCTAACCCCGGAGAAGAAGGGAAAACATATGGACCGGGAGAATTCCAAATCACAACACAAAGTAGGGAATGCGGGGAAGATTCTCCTGAGGATTTAGGGCTCTCTCATTTAGATCTGGGGGGAAATGATATAGATGGGGGTAGCAGAAGCTTAGAAGAAAATGTGACCCTGTTAACACCTTGCGATTCAGAAGAATCCAACACAGCATCTAAAGAGGAAGTGGAGGCTCCTCTTTCTGCCCCGGAGCTGGAGGTGGTCCATATAAAGTACTCCCCGAAATCCAGGGCAGCCAGAAAGAAAGCAGCTCCCAGAAAAACAAGGGCCCGGGCAGGAGTGTTGGACACAGTGTGTAATGGCTTTCAGTCAGTTCAGGTAACTAATGGAAACATGAAACCCTGCAATGCCAAAAGTGTGTGCTTCTGTTCTCAAGTGGTCACTGCTGTTTCTAGCAGTGATCAAACCCAGCCTTTTATTGGGGAAGGGTGGGGTTGAGTAGCACCCTAGAAGAATGCCAGATATTGATAAGTTGATCATTACAACCAACTAATTAGGGGCCAGTTTGGAGAATGATTATTCCCAGCTGTTGGGAGTCCTGCTATTGATTGTGCAGATGGTGGCTGTTTGCCCGCAGTTAGAATGCCTCCTCTGTGAATTTATGTGAACATTCAGCTTTTACACAAATTGTGGTTTAAGACACTGCCATTTAGGGGCAGTTACACTGGATTTATTAAGCTTGAACAGGCTTAGTCACGAAGGTACAAACACAATATTATATTGTTGTGGTCTGCGAAGTACTCGGCTCAAATTAAGGGCGTTTTAAAATGTGCTGAAAGTTTTCCCTCAGTAGCTCTGCCTGTGGAAAGAGAGAAGTTACAGTGTTGTATTTTGCAGTGTGATAGCTCCTAACTTTTTGAGTGGTGAATGGGGTAAGAAAGTAAAGGGTGCAGCTTCGTAATAAGTAGAGGTTGTCTGTCAGGCCTGTAATTTTTTTCTTCCCACTTAGACTGAAGTTCAGTTATTTTGGTACTTTTACTAAGCTCTTCTGGTAAACTTTGCCTCAGAGGTAATTTTATTTTATTTTCAGCTTCTCTCTGTGTGCTTATGGATTAGATTAGGGGGAAAGTCTTTCTTGATAAGTATTTTGTTACCTCTGAGATAAGGAATTTGGACAATATAAGAAAAGTTCCTCTTCTCAGTCCATAAAACAGTTGCTCTCGTTAGCAGTGCCCTTTGCTTGAGCATGCTTTAAATGGCATTGCTGGTTCAAAAGCTTGGCAAAGTACTGTTGTATGTAAGGATCCTGCAGTTTATTTGCAGAAAGTAATGAAGCTCTTAGGAGTACATAGATTCTTTAGTAGTTATCCTTTTTAACCCTTAGTATATATTTGTAGCACTTTAAAAATTACCATGGACTTACCTAGTCCTTCTCTGATATGCAACTCTAAAATTAATTTCTTTAAAACCAAGGTAAGAGGTTAATGCAATTTACTACAACATTATATTAGGGCTTTTTTTGTTGTTGTTGTCCTGAAAATTATCTGAGAGGGAGAATAGAACTTTTCCCTGAATCCTTGAATACCAGACAAGTTCTTGCACTTAAGAATGTAGCAGATCCAACCTCCTCTCTTTTTTTTTTTTTTTTTGAGTAGTAAAACATATCCACAGCTACTCATTTCTAGATGCAATAACTTAGAAATTAGTGTAGAAAAGAAATAGAATCATAATACAGCACCACATTCTGTTCACACCACCTTGTCTCAACTTTCTGTTGCCTTAGTAAGTAAATTAATGCCTTTAAAAAAGTTATGAAAACTTATGTGTTTTTTTTTTCCTCAGTGACTTGGGGAATTTTTATAATTTCTTTGATTATGTGTATATGGTATTGTTATATAGAAACAATTCTCCAGTGTGGAAATTGTCTATATAGGAGGGGAATTCTAGAGGAAATAATCACTTATTTGTTTGCTATTCCTTAATTTATTCATTCTTAAAACAACACAGAGTAGCCTGCTGTTTGGGCCTTGAGCCAGAGTCTAGAGAGTCTGTCTCCTCCCGCCTCTGCATCTTTCAGGATTGTTTTCCACGCTGCCTGAATTTTATCTTAAGTACTGTTTTGATACTTGCCTTTGTTATATTTTCATATATTCTGTTTAACTGTTTATTCACTTGGACTATTGATATATTTATATAGTGCCCCCTGGTATAATGACTCAGAGTCCCAAACCTTGTCTTAATATCTTAGCTGAAACTTCGCTCCTGGAGTTAACTTATTTGCTTTGTGGCTTCCTTTAATCCCTGTATTAAAAACATTTGTATTATCTGAAACTGTTGATCTACCCCCAGTATTATCTGTTAAGGGATAGATGTCATTCATTCCGGGACATGAACACTATTTGTCTATATTGATGTTCATCTGGCAGATAATTATCAAGCCCATATTATATGCTAGGTACTGTGGTAGTTCCAGGGCATGAAACTATTATAAAGAAGAGAGACAGTTCTGCTTTCATAGAACTTTCATTTTGCTATAACACATTAGAAATTTGGACAGTTATAGGCAACGGGGGACCATACATTGGATGGGATGAAGAGTCATGGGGAGGGTGGGGGGCAGCTCTGGAAAGCTGCCAACAGTGCCGGCGGTGACCACAGCGTAACCAGAGTGGCTATGCTGGCAATATGTGTGATCAGATCCAGGGATGAGCTCTACATGCCTCCTGCAAGCCCGTCGGCATCTTAATAGGCACGAGGGGGGCTAGATGTATCGGGATCCGTACTACTACAGTGCTTGCCTATATCGTTTTTTCTTTCCCATCCCTGTATTTTGGCCCCTCTGGCAACCATAGATTGGTGTCTTGGCTCACCTCATCCTCTTGCCAGGGATTCATCAAACTTTAATGACAGCTAACAACAGACATTCTCAGAAGAGTCTGTAAGCGTCCTTGCCCAGTAACTGGGTTCATCATATAATTTTGTTCATTAGCATTTTTCATACACTTGTATACTACAGTTAAATTGGAACGATAGGCAATTTCTAGTGGTATAATAACGAAACAATTAAGAGAGGACAGATAAACTGTTTTCTTGGTTTTATAGATAATCTGATTATTCTTTAATGTTCCTGAATGGTTTTGATAATAAGTATTATGAATTTATATTTAGTTTACTTTTGACTGTTATTAGTAAGGTTGCTATGAATAGGCAACAAACATTATCTTTATCTCCAATGATTGATATCTGATCATTGAATAAATGTTAATATTTGGTGGTTATCCAGTAATATAATTCATATGATTATTGCTCTTCCAACTGCAGGTATTTCAAAAAGAAGAGATTGAACCCTTGCAGGTCAAACAACAAGATGTGAACTGGTTGGGCCAGGGCCTTATTCAGAGTGCCGCCAGCAGCACCAGCACCCAGGGTTTGGAGCGGGACCTGGACGATGTCAATGCGAGGTGGAAGACTCTCAATAAAAAGGTCATTTTGTCACCCCCTTCTCTGTCATTTCTGTTTGTCATCAGCCACTAGCATTTGTTGTGACTACAACCATATTTATAGTAGCCAAACTTCCCTAAACATACCCACTTTTTTATGTTGCTGTAAACTGAATGGCCCAAACTCAGCTGCCTACAGAGCTCATTAGGGAGCATAACTGAGAGGCGCCAACTGGATGAAACAGGGCCTCTCCCTGTCATTATCTTGACTTTGATAGAGACACAGTCGTGCAGGTACGATGGCAGGTGGCCCATAACATGGTCCTGTGTGGAGACACATTGTGCACCTCTAAAGGGACTGTAGCTGCTTAGCTGCAACAGATCATTGCTTTGGAGGGATCTATGTTCACTGTTTCCAAAGAGCATACTTACTTTCAAAGCATCCTGGAAATCTCACTTTTTGTGCAAAATCGTCTAATTTTCAAGTGTCAGCAACTAATTCCACTGTGCAAGTGAATGTAACTCTACCTGTCTGTCAGCCCCGGACTGAGGGTCTGCCACCCTCACAATAGACCGGACTGAGGGTCTGCCACCCTCACAATAGACCGTTAACAGCAAATATTATTTTACTTGTACGATGTAGATTCCCACCTTTTAAAAAATATCCATGAGGGGAAATAATGGAAACTAATGCTCTGATATCCTAAGGAGATCATGCTGGCAACAGTGGCAGATTTTCGCGTGACATTGATGATCAGGAAATTGGTATTGGGTGGCAGTGCCCATCTGGTGGTGGTGGCTATTGTCCTTATGCAAACATTGCTGCATTGAAATCATAAGCATCTCCAGGTCTCAAACCCACATGCATCATTCCTTAAAGTCTGACTCACATTGTAGTGCTCTTTAAACACAAATGGACTGCAGTGTCAGGTGAAATATCTTGCCAACTACTTTCTTAGTCCACAAAGGAAAAGATGTATGAGAAGGGCAGTAGGTATTATTTTAAGGCACAGAGACTTCATTTGCTAGAAGCCAAAGCCCCTGGTCTGTTAAAAAGACTCAGAGCTTGGAGCTAGCAGAATTTAATTGGATACTTCATAGTTATTTTGCCTAGCAAAACATAATTCTGATTCTTTATTTTATAATAGTTATTTTTTTAATCTTAGTGTTTTTTTTCAATAATTTTCCCTGATATTCATCAATAGGAAATAAAAAATAAGTCCCAGGGATAGTGATAAAAGTGAGTAATGCATTGTTTTGTTCAGTAACCTTAAAATACTTCAATTGTTCATTGCTAATCAGAATTGCATTGGCTATTTCCAAAATCTTAACGATTTTGTGTTTTACAATGACTCTTTATGATGGTCACCTTATCTTCTTGGCTTACTTGCTAAAATTTGATGCCTTTCTACCCCCATCCTGTACACTATCAATGCTTTGGGTAGAGTTTATATGAAAAGGAAAAGAACATTTGTGACCCATTGGGAAGGTAAACATGAAAAGTGGTGGCCAGTGGGCAAATTTCATTGTTTTATTAAGCAAATAAATAAGCTGGAACAACGGGAACTTTGCAGGTGGCTCAGCGAGCAGCCCAGCTGCAAGAGGCCCTGCTGCACTGTGGGAGATTCCAGGATGCCTTGGAGTCCCTGCTCAGCTGGATGGTGGACACTGAGGAGCTGGTGGCCAATCAGAAGCCACCATCGGCTGAGTTCAAAGTGGTGAAGGCCCAGATACAAGAGCAAAAGGTAAGTTAGTGATGCTTTTGTACCGTGTTTCATGTGCCATATTAACAAAGAGAGTAAAAATGTACCTTGTGACTCTCTTTATTTATGTTAATAGGATATCCTCGTTAACTGGTTATTGATGTTCTCTATATTATTTTGTTTGGCCATTGCACAAATATTTATGGAATCATGTGCCACGGATCAGGCATTGTTCCAGGTGTTGGAGATACATCACCAAAAAATAAATAAATAAATAAATAAGATAAAAGTTTCTCACTGAGTTTACTTTCTGGGAAAGTAGCAACAGGGAGAGAGAAACAATAAAGTAAATAAGTAAATTGTGATAAGTTAGCAAGTGATAAGTAAAACAGGGATGAAAGATAAAAATCAGGAAGTGGTTGCCCTGGCTGGCTTAGCTCAGTGGTTAGAGCCTTGGCCCATGAGAGTTTGATTCCAATCAAGGGCACGTACCTGGGTTGCAAGTTTGATCCCGGCCCTGGTCAGGGTCATGTGGGAGGCAACCAATCAACGTGTCTCTCTCACATCAATGTTTCTCTCTTTCCCCCTCCCTCCCTTCCACTCTCTCTAAAAGTCAATAGAAAAATATCCTCAAGTGAGGATTAACAAAAAAGCAGGAAGTGGTAGCATGAATGAGAGACAGGAAATGTTAGAGTGGAGGGTATGTGTGTGTCTATATGCCTGTGTGCTCCACACGCAATTTTAAATAGAGTACAGTGATACCTCGGTTCTCGAACATAATTCGTTCCAGGAGGACGGTCGAGAACCAAATTGTTCGAGAACCGAAGCAATGAAACCCAATAGGAAATAATGGAAACTGGATTAATTCGTTCCAAGCCCCAGAAAATGCCTATTTACTGGCCTAATTTGTATATAATATGTAGAAAAACATAAGTCTCAACAAGAAATAAAAGTGTACAGTATGTCTAAGGGTTAAATTCAGTGTAAAGCGTGACTCTCTCCACAAAGCGTGACTCTCTCTCTGCACTCACACTGATGACGCAAGCAAGGCGCGCTGGGCCGAATGAACGCCATTCGGCTCAACTCGGCTCATCTCGGAAGTTCGAGTTCCAAATATTTGTTCAGATTCCAAGACAAAAGTTTCTCGAATCTCCTGGTGGAATACCGATTTGGTCGAAATCCGAGGCGTTCGAGAACCGAGGTATCACTATAGTTAAAGAAGACCTCACTCCCTGAAAAGGTGACTTTAGACAGAAGTATCACTGATCCCCTTATATATTAGGTTGATCCACAAGAAATTGCCTTTTGTAGAAATTAAATACAGGCAGTTTCAGCCTGTACCAAAGAGGAAAATATCTGATTCACCTGTGCGAAGTAAGGAACGTGCTGTTGTGTCTTTTGAGACTTTAATGAGGACCGAGTTGGAAAGACACACCCATTAAAGGGGTGACAGCTACTTGGGACCACACTTGCAGTTGTTGTGCTCTTGATGGTGCTGGTCGGTTAGGGAGCACTTAGTGATGTTTTCAGCACTAGTTTGTCTGCCATGACTTGACAGGACATAGGGAGGAGGCTAGAACACAGTATGTTGGTGAGGTTTCTCCTGGGTAAAACCTTACAAAGAAGGGAAGGGATTAAGAGGCTTAATTTTATTTTGATGTTCAGTACTTTGAAGACTTTAGTACATTGGGAAATCAACCTAGAAATAGATTTAGAGATAAAAATTAAAGAAACATCATGGGAAACATTGCATTTGTGCAGTTATTGAATAATATATAATATGTAATAAAATAATATATACAATAATATTGAAAATATTATGTATTATATATAATAATATAACTGCTGCAATTCACAATTTAATTTAAACCTTTGTAATTCTCCCAGAGTTATTGAATTATGCTTAGCCAACAAAACCTATTTGTTGATTTTGCTTTCTTTTTTTCCTCACCCGAGGACATTTCTCCATATTTTGTTTAGGTAGAGTGGGAGGGAGAGAGAGGAACAGAGAGAGAGAGAGAAACATTGACATGAAAGGGACACATCAAGTGGCTGCCACCCGCACAACCAACCAGGACTGGGGACAAACTGCAACTGACGTACGCGCCCTTAGCGGGAACCGAATCTAGGTCTCTCTGGACCGCAGGCCAACACTCTAACTGCTGAGCCAAACCGGCCAGGGCTGATTTTGCTTCCTTAATTGCCAGAGGTTTTGCTATTAAAGCTTATCAAAAGTAACACAATTAGTTTTCTTTTTCATTTTAAATCCTCACCCGAGGAAATTTTTTTTCCCCGATATTTTGTTCAGATAGAGTGGCAGGGAGAGAGAGAGAGAAACATCAATGTGAAAGGGACACATTGAGTGGTTGCCACTCACATGACCCAACCAGGGCCGGGGACAAACTGCAACTGAGGTATGTGCCCTTAGTTGGAACTGAACCCGGGTCTCTCTGGACCGCAGGCCGATGCTCTAACTGCTGAGCCAAACCGGCCAGGGCTTAATTAGTTTTCTTTATTGCCTAAACCACCTGGTGGACTTTGATTTTATAATGACTCTAACCTGTGTCAAAAGAGTTCATGTTTATTCTTTCTCAATGTTCCTCTCCCTCCTATTTTGGTGGTCTTGACTGCACAATGAAAGTGAGCGAATGCACTTCTAGCTTGTTTTTCTGGGTGACGGTCCATTTCTCGACTCCTCAACTGTTAGTCAGGATCGGATTAAGGAAACAGTGAAGCAGTACATGTTTTCTGCCCTGGGCCCTCCTCCTCGTTGTTAGTTAACATAGCATCTGTGGGTAGGTAGCACTTGCTCATGAAATAATTGTTTTGGTTACATGAGAGCTAGGGGATCCTGAGCTCCCGCTGCCTCCACCAAACATTCCATTCCACGCTTCTCGAAATGTTTACTCAGAATTGAACTGAATTTTTTTTTTTTTTTTGCTGCTGCAAAATCCTGAAATAGTAGTAGTATTTAGCCAACTTTGGAGATTTCTCACATATTGCACCCTCTGTTCCTTTTGGGAGTGATATTTTTAAAAGCTCTTACTTCGTTTGCATCCTCATGAAGGATTTTAGGAGCTAGCCCCACCTGGTAAAGAGCCAAGAGCCTCTCATTTTTGCCTCACTAGTTTTCGAACTTGGTCTGTGTCTCAGCTTCCCTGTCTGTACTGGATTGTTTCACCTCGGAAATGATTTTGAAAACAGTCATGACTCACAGTAATCTGTTTAGTCTTAATGGGACAGATGATTGTTGAATGTTTAGGACATTCCCGTTTCATTAAAATAATGAGAAATTGTAACCTTCATTGCAGTGGAGTTATCCTAAGTAGCATCTTCTACCCCAGTATTTAAAAAACAAAAAAAAGTGTTTTCCCTTTATTGATTATAGAGAGAGAGAAAGTGAGAGGGAGAGAGAACATCGATTGATGCCTCCTCCATGTCCCCCATGGGGGATCGGGCCCACAACCTGAGCATGTGTCCTGCCCTGGAATCAAACGGGCAACTTCTTGGTTAATTTAAAACATTGGGTTAATCCGGCCGTTGTGACTCAGTGGTTGGGCATCGACCCATGCACCAAGAGGTCACCGGTTTGATTCCCGGGCAGGACACATGCCCAGGTTGTGGGCCCGATCCCCAGTGAGGGGCATGCAGGAGGTGGCCAATTGATTTTCCTTCTCATCGATGTTTCTGTCTCTCTCTTCCTCTCTCTCTACAATCAATAAAGAAACAAAATTTAAAAAAATTAATAATGAATGGTTTGGTGGCCTTATCAATATTAGTTTTACCTACCATGAAGAGCTCCCACCACAGGGTCTGACATAAGCATAATGAATCATCAAGCAAAATGAGTTCTTCTTAAAATCCTACTTCTCAGATCCTTTTGGATGTGAATCCATACAAAATATATATTTTGGACACATAGCAAAAGTGCCAAGAATATATTTTTCTTTGTGTTGATAGAATTATTCCTTTGACTTTTTTGGGTATTCATTATCTTCTTTCAAGCTTCTCCAAAGATTGCTGGATGACCGCAAGTCTACTGTGGAGGTAATCAAACGAGAAGGAGAGAAAATTGCTGCCACAGCAGAACCTGCAGATAAAGTGAAGATTTTGAAACAACTTAGTCTCTTGGATAGTAGATGGGAGGCATTGCTTAATAAAGCTGAAACGAGGTAACTGAAATCTACTTCCGATCTTTTGGGAGAGTAGCCATGGCTTTAATTACAGATATTTTCTGTTTTGGTAATACTTTTCTTATTTTCTTATGTTCAACATGTATGTGAACCCATACAGCAAGGGCTGTGGTGATGCTATCTAATGGTAATGCCTTGTAGTCACCAGCTCTTTGTTTTAAGAAAAACTTTTCTCTCTGGGGTAATTTGTTCATTAGTTTATTACATAGTTACTGCCAGTCTACTATGTATCAAGCTCAGAATTAGACCTGGATTACAGGGATGAACTGGACAGGTCACCTGTGTCCTCACATGGGGTACAGTCCATAGGATTTTATAGCAATAGAAAAGTAATGACAAATGTGATGTTTCAAAGCGAAAATACAGAGTTCTGTGGGAGCATGTAGTTCTTCCTAGTAGGAAGAACCTAGTCTTGGCCCAAGGAAGTGATAGTTAAGCTATGTTTTAAAGGAGGAGGAGGAGTTAGCTGGGAGACTAGGCAGGTGAGTGGGCGCTGGCACATATATGATGGCTAAGAAGACTAGAGCATGGCTCCACCGGGCATTTGCACTGACCATTTCTGTATTGCATTCTCTGTATTGACCAGTCTTGTGTAGTAGCTATGTTGAAGGGTAGCCACATCGACTTGTTAGGTTTGAAAACAGGTGAACCACTGAACAGAATGAGTATGTCCATAAATTCCTACCTCCTTTGGAGCTAAACTTGTAAAAACACAAATCTGACTAAACTTGAATAGTGAAGTAGAATTAATCACAGTTCTGGAACCACAGAATGAGGTGCTCCTAAGGAGGTTCAGAGTTTCACATTGACCTTCAATATGTGTCAGTAGACTGGTCTTTGTAGTGCCCCAGGACATTGTGCCTGGCTCCCATGCGAGATACTCTCTACTCTGCTTTTTTATCTTATTGCCATTCTTATTGATGATATTGCAATTATAACATTACTACTGTCGGTATAATTATAACTATTATTATTTTAAGTATTATAACCCAGTTACTTAAGACTTTCGTAAGATTCAGGCACTTGAGGTTGGTCTGCTGTTCAGCTTTAATTTTATCCAATAGAACTATTTTAACATGTTCTTTAAATGGGAGAGGTTAATTTGAACCATAGGAGTTTTCTACAGAGAAATGTTCAGAACACAATTCAGGAGCATGAGTAAGATCTTTGTCAAATATTTCACACATTCTTCATCCCTAAAGGACCTTTATCTTGGCACACTTGCAGGAACCGTCAGTTGGAAGGTATCTCGGTGGTAGCACAGCAATTTCATGAAACCTTAGAGCCATTGAATGAGTGGCTCACAGCCATAGAAAAGAGGCTGGCGAACTGTGAGCCCATCGGAACCCAAGCGTCTAAACTCGAGGAGCAGATTGCACAGCACAAAGTAAGATACCTGCCACCGTTAGTAAGACTCAGTGCTCCATCCCCCTCCTGGTTTTATGACATGAATTTGAGTTATGTATTATTGTTGTGTTATGCGAATTAAATCTATTTCAAATGCCATCTCTTCATTCTGTTTATGTTTTTATTTTTATTTGTCCATTCTGTTTGTTTCTCTTTTTTAAAACTCTGTTTAGGCCTTAGAAGATGACATCATCAATCACAGTAAACATTTACACCAGGCTATTAGCATTGGCCAATCCTTAAAGGTTTTGAGCTCCAGGGAGGATAAAGATATGGTGCAGAATAAACTAGACTCCTCTCAAGTGTGGTACATTGAGATTCAAGAGAAAAGTCACAGCAGGTCTGAGCTCCTCCAGCAGGCCTTGTGTAATGCTAAGATTTTTGGGGAAGATGAAGTTGAGCTGATGAATTGGCTGAATGAAGTACATGGCAAACTGAGCAAGCTCTCAGTCCAGGATTACAGCACTGAGGGTCTGTGGGAGCAGCAGTCTGAACTTCGGGTATTTTGATTTATTTTATTTATTTATTTATTTTCATTTTGGTTGTCATTCTTTTCCAAGCCTTCCTTATTTCTGTATGATTTTATGTTCATTATGATTTGGGTGTATCGCTGTACTCAAGAAAGACTGCATGTATGCAGATTACTTTTCATGGCGTTACTTGAAAGAAGAGATGGAGTGTATCCAGTAGCTGGATTTTTCACTTTTCATTATTTATTTTTATTGTTGTATACGAAGACTCGTTAGTAACTAGTACTCCAATATCTCCACATAGCTCGTTTTCATAGGGCCCTGAGTATTTTCCGAGAGGGAGAATGCTGTCAGTTATGGTAGATGGACCTGGGGACACGGGCCACAGGGATGGAAAGAGGAGGGTGAACATGGAAACAATGATGCATATTTGAAAATGTGGGTGTTTACTGTAAATATGTCTTTGTGAAACCCAATCAGAGTCCTCTAATATTGATTAAATGCTAATGCTTATTTAATTTTTCTCCCCCCCACATAAAAATGGTGCCTGCATTTTAGGTTCTGCAAGAGGACATACTACTCAGAAAACAAAATGTAGATCAGGCATTACTAAATGGTTTAGAACTACTTAAACAAACAACAGGTGAGATACCTTTCAAATTAAATAATTATAGAGCTAACATTTTGTATCGCTTTTCGAATATTTTAGGAATGGGGAAAAAAAACAAAACCTTTATAATGTGTGGGCTACTTCAAGACTTCATTCTAGCAAATGCTTTGAAGGCAGACCAGGAGGGTGGGAATATGATCTCACCTTTTTTCTCATGATCTCACTTGAGTTCTTAATGAAAGTTGTGTGTATTACTCATAAAAAAGCACAGTGGCACAGGAGGTGGTCAGAGTTACACTGGTTTTCCACTTGTGGAAGTCAATTGTTTTAAATGAGCACATAGGTTGTAGACAGCTTTTTACTTTATTTTCAGACGGACCGCATCCAATGACACATACTGTGGCTAAACCCAGGCTTGTATCTTCATGCTTGAACTTACTAAGGAAACAGATACAAATTAACTTGTTTTAGTAATTCCTTTGGCTCTACGAAAGTTTCACTAGACCTCTATGTCCAGTTCAGCCTATGTGCGTGGTGAGGCAAGTGCCATTCATTTTGAGTTGGAGAAATTCATTATAGAATCTGGAGCTTTGAACTCAGAGTCTGAAGCCCAGGACACAATTTCTCTGTGTCTGAAAAAGAGGTGGCGGAATAGTGCAGATGCGCGCGTTATTTCCAATATATTCACACATACCGTACATGCCAGGCGCTGTTCTGAACACTTTGCGAATATAACTCATCGAGTTTTTATCACAACCGTATGAAGTAGGTTCTATTTTTATCCTTACGTAATGATAAGTAACCAGAGAGGTTACGTAGCTTGTGAAAGGAAACGAGCCACAAATTTGATGTTTTTAGGCCATGAGGTCAGAATTTGAATCCAGACAGTTGTTAACCCCTCTGCTTGGGAGCTGAAAGCACCATACAGATAGATACAAAGGTGACACTTTCCACCTCACTGAAGCCACTACGGTCCTGTCCCGTTTTCATATTTGCATTTCCAAACCTGTGTTTAGATTTGCCAGAAATCCTGGGTAAGATTAAAACCTAGAAAAGGGCTGGGTCAGAACTTCTTTAGAAAAATGTCTCCTAACCCCACCCCACCCCCACCCCACCCCCACACACAGAAAAAAATCTCATCAGTGTATAATAATATCTGAAGAAACCCTTCCCTCTGCCCACCCCCTTGCTTCCCTTTCATGAGCTATAACATGCCTTTGAAATTTTAGGTGATGAAGTTTTAATAATTCAAGATAAATTGGAAGCCATTAAAGCAAGGTACAAAGACATTACGAAATTGAGCGCGGATGTAGCCAAGACTCTGGAACAGGCCCTGGAACTGGCGAGCCGGCTGCACCGCGCACACGAGGAGCTCTGCACCTGGCTGGGCAGAGTGGAGGTGGAATTGCTTTCATATGAGACTCAAGTCCTGGAGGGAGAAGCCGCAAGCCAGGCGCAGGCGCGACAAAAAGTATGCTCTGACTTACGCGCTTTGGCTCCGTGTGTTATCTTGGGGGGAGTTTTATTTACACAGGAATGAAATGATGTCTTTCTCGTGTCGTTACTAATATGCCGGAGGATGCCTCGGTGGGTGGGGACCCAACAGCAATTGGCAGCAGGTCAACTGTTGAAGCTTTTAGGAAACCCAGAGATGAAAACAGTGTATTATAATTTGTTTTCGGAGTCTTAACAGTTTATCACACAAGAGACAGAATGATGAAGACAGAAAAGGAAAATAAAGGGAAAGGATCCTCGTTTCCAGAGATACACGTAATTTGGTTAGAATAACAATATTTTTTATGAGACAGATGCATAACGTGAGGTGGCTTTTAAAATTATATTGCAAATGTAATTTTATATTTGGTCTTCTACCCTGCGAAGCATTTTTCTTCTCAGCAATATCAGCCTGTTTTTATCACCCCCGAAGTATGGTTATGTGGGGGGGGAGAGGGAGTCTGTGAGGTCAGGCTTGCTGAGCCTGTAATGATTCAAGCGGCATGATTTAAAGCCAGTGTGTCCTCATTTCCAGGGTCACTTGATTCTGGCTTGGATTTTCCTCTGTATTTTACTTTTCTGGTACCTGATTACTTAGAGGTTACCAGAAAGCAAACAGTAATCCATAATAATTTCCTTGGTTTTGTTTCCCAGTTTATAAACATTTATATTAACTTTCAGAGATGAAATCATGCCTTGTTGACAGATGCATTGTTCTTCGGGACTTTCAGGAAGCACTTTCCTTTTTGCTTCTAAGTAAGAAAGGTTTATCGAATTTAGCTAAAACGAAGGGGGCGAATGCATTGCATTCTTGACCTGCAGAGCACGTGAGCCCCAAAAACAGGTAAAGGAAAAGCCTGTTCAGACATGTATTAACCCACAGATGTGTATGTTTTCCTAATTCTGTTTGCAGGAGCTGAAAAAGGAAGCCAAGAACAGCAAAGCCTTATTGGATTCCCTTAATGAAGTGAGCAGTGCTTTACTGGAACTGGTCCCATGGAGGGCGCGGGAAGGACTTGAAAAAATGGTGGTGGAGGACAATGAGCGCTACCGGCTAGTGAGCGACACCATCACCCAGAAGGTGGAGGCCATCGATGCTGCCATTCTGAGATCACAGCAGGTAGGGGCCTGTGGCTCGTTGTCTAGGCAATAAATTTTCTCCAGTTGTTCCCGGAGCCTTTACCTGAACAAAGGTTTCTGTTAATAGTGTTTCCATTCATTTGTTCTGCTTCAAACATGAAAGGAAGGATTTGAAAAGAATGTGGGTTACGTTGACATCTGAGTGCCGGGGCAAGACCGATCTGTACATTGTTAACAGCCATCTGCCTCATTGTTTCCCAGACTGATCCAGCCACCGAGAGGGTCACCCGGCTCTCCAAACAAAACCCTTTTTGTGTACATATATGCATATTGCTCATGTTAATTTTGTGCGTCGGCTAAGTGTGATCTGTACGGGAGCAAATATTTTGAGTTATCCTGCAAGTCAGTATTAGCTGGTCATTTACATGCAGCTCTGACAAAGGGAGGCGGTCTCCTTTCTAGAAAGGTCGTGTTGGTAGAGTTTTTTTCTGATGGTGACTGGAAAAGGGAAAAGGATAGTTTCTGACCCATCCGTAACTCCCATGGAGTTGTCGTTCCCAAGAATTTCATAGGCACCCAACCAAGCCGCAGCTCCCTCCGAAAATCGTGAGCAGAGGAGTCCTGGAAACTGAAGTTTACAATTCGTTTTCATGCACTTTTACTGAAATCCCGGTATTTCCATGAAGTCCAGAGTCTTCTGTGATGGGTTAGCGCAGGGCACTTGAGAGCAGAGCTGGAGAAGGTACGCGGCTGAGCTTTACAGGTACGCGCCGAAAGCAGGAAACACAAATCAGGCAGATTGCGTGGGAACATCCAGAATGAATGTTCTCAGGCGGCTGTGAAGGTGTTGTTTGTGTCGCCCCGAAGCGTGATGGAGCTCTGCTCACGGCCGGGCTCTGCACCAGGATCACCGACGCCGGGCAGGCGCGGGGAGAGCGGGAGGCCTGCCTGAGGAATGTTTGCGAGGGAGGGCATTCCTGCCCGAGGAATGCCTTCTCATGGCTGTTTTCAAAGCTGGGAGGAGTTGGAATGCCTCCTTATTATAAGAAAATAAGTCTGTTTATTTGTGAAGTTTATTCCAATATTTGAAAGTACTGAATTTTTTTCCCCACCAAAATGGATTCTAACATTTCAGAATTGGCTCTGGAGGCTTCTATTAATAGCAAGACAAATATGCTGTACTCTTGGGAGCAGTTAACTAGGGTTGGTTAGTTCAATGAAGCAAGACAGTAATAAGGGCCAGGTGACAGGCTGAACTTGTATGGGTTAATAAGCTCTAATGTGTGCCCAGTTCTGTTCGAGGCTTTGCAAGTGTTTTCCAAAGTTAATAATAATAATAATAACTAGGTCAGTATAGTCTTCTAGAACCCAAAATAGATATCCTTTAGGAAAATGACAATTATTTTCTTTCCTGATAAAATCATTCCTTATAGAAGATTTTAAGATTTTCTGAAAGGCCCTGGCCAGTTTGGCTCAGCGGTTAGAGCGTCGGCCTACGGTTCCCGCTAAGGGGACGTACCTCGGTTGCAGTTTGTCCCCGGCCCTGGTTGGTCGTGCGGGTGGCAGCCACTCAATGTGTCCCTTCACGTCGCTGTTTCTCTCTCTCTCCCTTCCTCTCTCCCCCTCCCACTCTATCTGTACAAAAAATGGAAAAATATCCTCGAGTGAGGATAAAAAGAAAAAAAAAAGATTTTCTGAAAGAATACAAAAAAACTCATGGAAGAAAGATTGTGCAAACAATGTGGTTTCTATCCTTCCTTCTGAGACAGAGAGGGGAGAGAATGTGTATAGTAAAAGTATCTTCATACCGCAGGTCATACAGCTAATGTTAGTGCCATGAATATCTTCTGGTTGTTCATCTGTATTTGTTCTGTATTTATGTGTGCATTCCTTAGAAAGGCCTGCAAGTCTGCCCTATGAAATACCTCCAGTAATAAAGAAAACCAATAAAATGTGCTTAAGTCGTCAAAAGAAAGAAAGAAAACCCTTAGTTAGACTAAACAGACACACAGTGTAGAGCTGGGAGGAACATGTGCAGAGTGTGGTGGGGTGACTGCCGGAGGTCCCACAGCGAGTGTGTGGTGGAGCCGCAAGCAGAACGTCATCCAGACCTCATTTTATCACCCTAGAGTGCTCCTTACATTACGTAGGGAAGACTAGTCCTGAGGGGTGATCCATGTTTTTCTCTAACCTCCTTCATTAATCAGAAGGAAGGTGCCATTATTGTAGGAAACTGGATGTATGTAATGAGGATATTTCCAGTGCGTAAGGATTGTGAGCCATGAGAATGCAACACCCAAGGATCATGAGAGATCACTCCTCAGGAAAGCTTAGGAAGACATTGGTACCTGTTTTTCCAATTTGGCAGAGATTTTAGTTTTATACTCAAAAGAGTAGTTTCTAAACTCATAATTTTCAGATTTATGAAGGAGCTAATATATCACTGAAATTATCTTAACAACCTTTTCCACTTAGAGATGTTTGGAATTAGGACCAGAGTACAGTGTGATACTGAAATATTTGTTTTCTGTTTACCCAATGATAAGACATCATGCAGTGTAAGAGGAATGATGCAAAAAAGAAAAAAATCTTCAGATCTGATGTTAACCACTATCAACTTTTTGTTGTAGAAACAAATCATCTACCATTCTGTCTCTTCTCCATGTAAAACATGGACATAATTGAGCTGAAGTCCATCTTTTCAGACATATCTTTATACACATACACTTTGTTTTATTAACACTACTCTGTCCCAGATAACCACACCCACAAGTGACGGCATGAGGATGTGCCTTGAAATTTATAGATTTAATGCTTTGTCCCTGAGAATCATGGCTAACTTAAACTAGAGTCTGAATACCTGTTTTCCAAGCAAATTTCTCTTAAGACGTTTCATCTTTGCCCCTGTTCAAGTTGTTTATATACAGATTGAACCGAAGGAGCCATGTGGAAATAGGGAAATGCACTTTTGCTTAAAAGATATACAAACTGGTAGCCTGAATTCTGACCACTGCAATTGTTTGAATCTCAGAGAAGCTCATTGTCCTTTGCCTCATACATGTGCAATTGTTAGAAGTCGATAAAATGTGTCCGTCTCCCTCAGACTGAAAATCACAGGCACTCCCTGGGAGTTCTAATTGCCTGGCTCAGTTCAGCAGGCCACGTAACCCCAATATAAAGACATATGCATTGGTGATTTGGGTGCAATCAAAATAAACATCTCATTCAGTCATTAGGAATTAGCCTTGGAGAAAAATAACACCTGTTTATTTCTTTTAAAGAGCTAGAAGGAAACCTCCCCCGTGGAAGTGAGATTTGTTTAGACTCTCCAGGTGTCAGGGGTGGGAAAATATGAGCTGTGTTATGAATAACGTGAAGCAAAATGGAAGGAAGTGCACATCAAAAGAAAGTGATAAGATCCTCACCAGGGGAAGGGAGTAAAAGGATGTCCTTGAGGTTAGGGTTCTCTGTCACTCCATCTTTCTCAAAACCTCCATTTCCACTCAGGAGACACTTTCTAGATAAGTATGGAAGCAATTTGCCAGAGATCGGAGAAATGGTTAAATAACAAATGAAAATCTACCACTTATTAACTGTTGTGATGATTGAGCCTTTTTTTAAATGAAATCACATGAGTATATTTAGCTCGAGGAGCCAGAGGTACAAGGGGTAAAACACCACAGCTAAGACTGAGGCCTACAGGGTTCAAGTCAGACCGCCTGGGTTCAAATATCAGATCCAGCATTTACTAGCTGGGTGATCTCTGGTAACTCAGTTGACTTCTCTGCCCCCGTTTTCTTGGCTTTAAATGGAGTTAATAGTAATACCCACATTACATAGTTGTTGTCAAGATTAAAGGGGATACTACATATTAAGCACTTAAATGTATTCAGTAGAAGGCTGACTGTTACTGCTTTAGAGAATGTTTTTCAGGACTATTTAAGAGATGGCCAATTAAAATGCCTTTCTCTAACTTGTAAAAAAATTCTAAAATGCTAGTGCAACTGTAATAGGAATGACAGTAACCAAGGCTGAAGGCTAGACTCCACTGGTAACACTATTCAAATGTTTCCCAGAATGCAGTTACGGATGCTAAGATTAGCTACAATTTATTTGAAGTCAGTTTTACTACTTGTATGAGCCTCGGGCAAATTTATTAAAATGTGTCTAGTAATCTTGCTGTCATGTTGCTCACATGTGAAATAAGCCGTTCTTGTGGTTCATTTGAAATATGCAAGTTAAGTAGTCACTTAAAAGAGCCACAGACCGAAATAAAATGCCTTGCTTTACTGTAAATTGCATAATGTGCACCGTGTGGCTATTCCATTTGTTGCTAAATAATAGCTATTTGTCAATTTAATGAAAAATATTAAAAGACAGAAGGGAAATTTCTGCTGCAAGTCTTGTTTTCTTTCAGCAGAGCAAATATTTGCCTCGGTTAACGAAACAGTGTTTGAGTTTCAGCTTCCTGTTCTGGCAACTTAGATGGTATCATCATACTGTTTTTCATTAGTTTTTTTTTTTTTTTTAAGAAAGGGAGATGTAATATTAAATTAATATTAACACTAGCAGCTTGACTTTCTTTATTAAGACTGTCATAGAAATACTAAAAATAGCTTTAACACAGACAAGAGGGGTGGTGTGTCGCTTTATTTTTTTCAGGGACCAGCAGAAGAAAAAAAAATCATTACTGGTAAACTTTGTTAGGATACCTTGCAGCATTTGCACTCAGGTAGAAAGGCCTGGACTGTTTTTCTCAGTTTTATGCCCTTTAAGGGAATTATATAATGACGTTCTACCTTGAAGTTTCTTGTCTGTGGCGTTAAAGCTAATAAGCCAGGCATAGAAGACTCTTCTACATTTAAAAAAAAAAAATTTTATTGAATTTATTGGGGTGACATTGGTTAATAAAATTATATAGGTTTCAGGTGTATAATTCTATATAGTACATCATCTATATATTGTATTGTGTGTTCACCGCCCAAAGTCAAGTCTGCTCCTATCGCCATTTATTCCCCCTTTACCTTCTACCTCCCCCACCCATTTTCCCTCTGGTAATCACCATACTGTTGTCTGTGTCTATGAGGTTTTAATTTATTTATTTTGCTTAGTCCCTTCACCTTTTTTACCTAGCCCCCCAATCCCCTTCCCCTCTGACAGCTGTCAGTCTATGCTCTGCATCTGTGAGTTTGTTACTATTTTGTTCATTAGATTCCACATGTAAGTGAAATCATATGACATTTATCTATCTCTGACTGGCTCATTTCACTTAGCATAATGTCTGTTGTCTAACCACGTCAGCTGATAATCCATGCATAGAACACTCTTGCACTTGTTTTTAATGAGGATTTCTCTTTCCACATCTGAAGCTGCTGAATTAGTTGATGAATTTTTTTTTTTCCTTTTCACTTCATCCTCTCATGAGCCTGTGTAGTGTTGCATAGTGTTTTAAAAGTATGAATTATTTTTCAGTCTAGTTTCTTATCCCTACCTTTCTCATCCCTCACCTAGTTATCCCTCTCCCCCTTTTGGATTTCCAATTTCTCTGGAAAAAGTAGAAGGTTTACCAGTACTGGACTTTAATACTTAAAGTGTCTATTGCCTGTTCAATCTCCCTTCCCACTGAGGCCATTGTTAGTTACCATTTATTATTGGGGCTTATGGTGTCACTTACTACTTCACTTATTCATAAATGCTTGGCCCTGGAAGGCATTGGGGTTTATCTGATGTAAAGTATTGAAAATGTTCATGCTCTTTGACTCGGTAGTCAACGTCTAGGAATCTACCCTAAGGAACTAATTAGAGATGCCAATGGAGAGTTATGTACAAGGATATTCATTACAGGGTTGTTTATATAATAGCAAAAAAAATGCACAGAACCTAACTGAAAGTATCCAAGTATGCTAGAATACAATGGTGTTATTTAAAAATCACACTTAAAAAGAATATGACATGGGAAATGTTCATAATAAATGAAAAAGCAGGATATGAAGTTGTTTATACAGTATTATGCCAGACCTTTATAAATCTTTTTCAACTCCTGGAAGAAAATGCACTAAAATTCCAATGGTATTCACTCCAGTTTTGAATTTTCTTCTGTATATTTTTACCATGAGTTAGTTATGGTTAGGAAAATAAAATTTCTTGAAATATTTAAGAGGGCTCTTGAATATATTTTCTGCTATTATTAAGTGAGATGTGAAAATATCGTACAGGAGTCATTTGGGGACATTCTCTACATATATAGAAACATTTTATACATACACTTATACACAGAGAGAGATAATTAAAAAATGGGAATATTTCATTCTCTTTGCTAGGAATTGTATACTTTATAGCAGAATGCTACCTGCATATTGTATGGTTAAAGTGATGAGGAAATGATTGAAAGATGGTATTCAGCTCATGGCTTTCATAGCTGTTCAGTGTGGATAGTACTGTTAGGGAGAAAAATCTTTTGACTGTCAAAAAGAAGGCAGCAGTGTTAGGTGTCCTGTGCTGTGGATTCATCATGTTTTATGAGCTCGTGTTTAATTAGTTGTTCTCCTTTCTTTATAACGTCAGTCATTATCATGAATTATTTCAGGATGCCACGCAGAGATACGCTCAGATTTTCCGCTTGTGTAATAAGGTTATGTAAAAGAAATGTAGAAAGGTATTTTAATGGCACCAGTTACAGGAACTTGCTGACCTAATTATTTATCTTTTGTTTAGTTTGACCAAGCGGCTGATGCTGAGTTATCCTGGATTACTGAAACAGAAAAGAGATTGATGTCTCTGGGTGACATCAGGCTTGAGCAAGACCAGACGGCTGCTCAGCTGCAGGTTCAAAAGGTGAAGGACATTTCCAATTACCTCTAAATTATTTGCTCGTCTAGCAAATGTGCTCACATGCTTTACTTTGCAAAACTCCACTAGGGTAACTTGATATTTTCAACTACTTTGCCTAATTGTTTTCATTTTATTCATACACTTAAAAAAAAAAATCTTTATTTTTGTAAATACAGACATTCACCATGGAAATTTTGAGACACAAGGATATTATTGATGAACTTGTTGAATCTGGACATAAAATCATGACCACATGCAGTGAAGAGGAAAAGCAATCAATGAAGGTATAATCTTGTCTATGTGACTGGTAGTGACACTCTTGAATAAAGGCATCTGTTGAGCTTTCATTCCTAGAAAAGCATTTTTCCTTCATCCACAGCTGCCAAACAGCTAAATCATTATTTGCAAATAAGGCATTTTTCAAGCTCCCAGAATAACAGTGAAAGGAATATTCCTTAAGGGAATCACCCTGGGGACCATCTCTTTTAATATACAGAAAAGCTATTAAAGTTTCAGCCCTTGATTAACTGGTACACATGAAGCATTCAATTAATGCTCGCTGAATTATTGCCATTATTATCAGTATAAATTGTTATTATATGTGTCAGCTGTTGTTTACATGCTTCAGAAATATTTGGGCCTCTTGAGCTGAAAGAACAACCAAAATATGTGGTTTTCTCTAATGCTGAAGTCCATTCTGTATGAAGTTACTGTAAGCTGTACAGGAAAAAAATGAGCTGAGTAATTAAGGAAGCATCCAGTTTATGTAGCTTTAATGATTCTTTAAACTGATGGAAAACCAGCCGCAGTAAAAATGTTTAGTTCAATTTATATTCTGACATCTGAACAGCCTAAAGAAATTAACATTTCTAGTAGGAAACTATTTCATGGCAAGAACAAAATTACATAAATACCTGTGCTAAGATCACATTTTAAAGAGTGTGCATTGCTTTTAAGGTATAACATAGACAAAGTAATCCAGTGCACACTATTTATTGATACATTCTCTTTTATTTATCCTCTACAATGGCAATTTACTTGTTTATAATTTAATCTTTCCTTTATTATTTTTGTAAAGATTCTGACATGAAAAGCACAAGTCATCATGAAATAATTGATCTGCCATTCTTGGTTTATTAGATTACTGTTGTACTTCATCTTCTGCTATTAGTTTATTATGTGAATTTATACTGTAATGTAGATCACTGCAACCACCCCATAAAAATCAGTGGATAGCATGATGTTTTACATTTATTCTAATATATGTAATTAATTTTACTGGCTGGCAGTTCCTCTTACAATTTCATTGTTGAGAAGTAGTCCCTATTTTTTGAGAAAGTAATATAAATGTTGCTAGACTCAGGAGACTTGTTTTCTAACCTAGAAGATACTGTATGAATGGCTAAAGAATCTTGCTTATTATGCTTGGAGAGCTCAGTGTCTTACTCATAAAAATTTGAAGCCTTGCTTATGTATGGATTTATTTATATTTTGGAATTTGTCACTTGATATATTTTTTTGAGAAGTCGTTATTAAATTCTATGATTTTTGATGATTGTGTAGAATTCCATTGTATGAATATATCATAATTTATCAGCCTGATTTCCAGTTGTTGTACTTTAAAGATGTTCCACATTTTTGCTATTATTTACCTAGAAAACACTTAATATTAACATATAGTGGAATCTTATTCATCCTTAAAAGGGAAGGGAATCCTGCTATATGCAACCACGTGGGGGATGAACCTGGAGGGCCTTTCTTTAGTTTAAAATGAACTTTTTTTGTACATAGAAACAATTAAAATAGAAATAGCTTGTATTGACTTACATACTTTATTAAGTGTGTAACATACGTTATTAAGTGTGTACTCGGTGACAGGAGTCTATGTTCTCGCGTACATGTGCTACTTGGCCTGCCTCACCAGTTAAACACATTTCATCATCTGGATTTCTAGAAAAAACTGGACCAGGTATTGAAGAACTATGACACCATCTGCCAGGTAAACGCAGAGAGATACCTACAGCTAGAACGGGCGCAATCCCTGGTGAACCAGTTCTGGGAAACATACGAAGAACTTTGGCCATGGCTGACAGAAACACAAAGAATCATCTCTCAGCTTCCTGCCCCAGCCCTTGAGTATGAAACTCTAAGACAGCAACAGGAAGAACATCGGGTAAGCTCACTGTCAAAAAGAATGTTATTTTCCCCACTAAAAGAGAATCATGATTCTTACGGCATTTTTAAAAGATAGTTAGATACCTTACATGATTAGGATATTTTAGCAATGTTACGTTCCGGTCTGAACAGTTTGCTTACCTCAGAGTTGAGTACCTGTTATCTAGATTTACAGTGAGAAGACTCATGTGGGAAGACCACACTGTATATGTCATTAATCAGCTTTTATAGGATAGTGTACAGTATAAACTGTCTGGGTATAAAAACAGTTTCCATTTACCATGTTGGAGGAATAAGCTTTGAAGTACTTTTAATTTGTGTATGTTGAGTTACTTTTACTTTACACATATTGGCTAAGTTTTGTATTTTATATGTAGTGGTGAGAGCAACTTGGAGTGTAAGCAAAGAATAGATACATACGGACGGAAGTGACATCACACCAACGAGGCCACTGAGCTTGGAGAGAGTGCACACTATAACAGATATGTCAGAATAGCAGTATCCTGAAAGCTAACTCTGTGAGAGGAGAAATGCTGAAATATGAAGACAGATTGTGTCCCTTTTTTTCCACCTTATGTACATGGAACTCCTTTGATGTTGTCTGCTCCTATAAGTATCTAGGAATAAACTAGAGAGTATATTTACATCTACAAATGTAGCATGTTTTAAATATATATATATATATATATATATATATATATAATGGCATTATGAAGCCCTCATTCCAAGAGTCACATAAATGTTAACATAACTTAACAAAAGTTTGAATGAGACAGAGGGTTCAAGACTATCAGAAAAAAAATCCAGAGCTCTTGCTATTTATGTTCTTATGAACCTTGTTGTTCTCCCATATCTGTACAAGAATTACTCTGAGACTAATTGGTGTGTGTGTGTGTGTGTGTGTGTGTGTGTGTAAAGTTTAACTCGGGGTATGACATCATTGTTTGTATTATCTGACATACTTACTAATCTTGTTTGTTTACTTTTTTAATGTATTGGCATTGAAGAATATCTCTAACTAAAGTATTTATTTAGAAGAGAGCTTTAGAGAATACTTTATTTATTACAAAATGGAGATTTTTTTATGGAGTTTTATCTAAATCGTTCAGCAAGAGAAACACAAACTATGTAGCATTCAGTGGAATTTTACTGTAGAGGTTTATTTGCGGCAGAAATCCTGATGCCTACCCACTGGATGATTTTTAATATAAAATGTTTCATGGATTTCTTCTACTCTGAGGTGAGATTTGAGTAGCTACATTACTAGCATAACATCAAGTATTATTACTGAATTGAAAATTTCAAAATTGAGTTAATATTTTTGCATAATCTTTCAACTTTCAAAACAAATTTGTGATTTTCCATTTTAAGGGAACTACAAAAGTTTGTAGCCAAGTCTTCAAAATTTTTAAACTAAATTGTTCAGAATATTTGCCACCTTCTAGAATGGCTCTCCTTCTGTAATTTCACAATATACTCATAGGTATTTTTGGACACACCTTCTAATTCATCCTAGCCTGCAATGAAAAATGGCTTCAAGAGCAATGTTACCAAATGGTAGATGTCATGAAGTTACATTAGGTATTTCCAGCATTCATAAGACTAGATTCTCATGATAGTATGATTCCAATAATCATTTTGTTTCTTATGAAGCAAAAGACATCTATTGGGCCCCTTTCTCCATGCAAACACATACACCTAAGTTCACACCTAGTAGGTGTTCTCTTAGCTGTAATGAAATGGCTTTACAAAGGCTCATTCACTACTTCCCAAGCAAAGGTGTCTCATAGTAGTGCTACACAGATGGGATCTACTTAGACTCTAGGCAACTCAAGAACTCCTAGATCTCTCATTTTACTTGGGAGTCTCTTTGATAATTCAAGGTGTGAGCTTATTTTACAAACCTGCCTTATAGAATATTGAAACCAAAACGTGTATAACAAATTTTTTCCCTGTGAGATTGTATGTTAGCCAATATTAGCATCACCAACTCTATTCTGCAAAGCATCATGAAGATATGATCTAACAATGTGAAACAAAAATAAGAAAATCGCAGCCCAGATCACCCAGGAGCTAGACTTTGGACATGACCCTCTCACATTCTTATGTGCAGCACGTTAGATTAGACTCCCCCTCCTTTTGTAAAAATTGAATTTGTATTTATTTAGGTCTTTTCCAAAAGAGTTTTGAGACCACCTTCAGAAAACAACTTCAAAAATAGAATATTACATTGAAGATTGTTAATGCTCTAATGAAGTAATTTTCTTAGTTTTCAAAATAATTTCTCGGCTGATTTTAGTGGGTACTTTTAATTAAAAAAATTGTTTGTGGCCATCCTGGTGATTCTTCTTTCTGAATGATAGAAATTAAAATATTTTAGTGAAAAGATTGGTAGCTTTTCTCTAGACTGTCTTCCCTGAGTATAATTTGTCTCAGAGAAGCTTTTATTTGGGGCTAGATAGCAAACAGTCTGGAGAATACCTTCTGATGAGGACAAGGAGCTGCTGATTAGGGAACCAAATGAATAACATGGGGAAATGGAACACTCCTCAGTGCTTTATGCACGCTGGCCTTAGAGAAACCTGCAGGCGTGGCCGATCTGTCCCCTGGGAGGGGCTTTGGATTTGGCCCATAAAATACTGCTCAGAGGAGGCTGTGGGTTCCACGGAGTGTAGATACTCCAGATTTATTCATCTCCCTGGAAAGAATGGGGCTTCATTTGGATTTCACACTCATTAATATAAATATCATTGTATCTATTGATTAGATGGTGTTCAGTGTATTCACATGTCACATATTTGTCCTTAAATACACCTTACAACTAATGCTCAGTATATAGCTGTGTTTGATAGATTGATTACCCTTGAAGTCTTTAACATTTTTAAATGCCTACAAATAGTTAATTCATTTATATATGTAAATATCATATGTGTATGTTATATATCATATATGTACATAGAATAGATTAATACATATATAGACATATAATGTAATATGTATGTACACATGTTTCTATTGGCTTACATATAATTACAATGCCTTGTGGGCTTACATCACCTAATGTGGCTTTATGTATAGTGGTTTTTCTCTCAGCATTGTGGCTACCTTCTACTGAGGTTCTTTCCTTTTCCCTCCCTCCCTCCCTCCCTCCCTCCCTCCCTCCCTCCCTCCCTCCCTCCCTTCCTTCCTTCCTTCTTTTTTTCTTCTTTCCTTTTAAATAATTTTTGTATATATCATGATTATATGTAAAGGGACACCATGAGTTGTGGCTTAATCTGTATGGGTTGAGGACATATAGTAAGTTCAGAATGCTTTTATGTAATATAACCCTTGGCTAATATTCTTGTCAAAATATATGATGGTATGAAATGCATAATGAACTAGAATTAGTTATTTCACTCAACTAACATTTTATACGTGTCCTTAAAGGGACTCTGACATGACCAGGCTATTGTTTAATCTTTGTGTTAGGGGCATCTCTTTTTGGCAAAAAGCCCTATGAGCCATCATGTAGTACATGCCTTGCGAGGGGAGGGTGTTTGTTTGGAGTTTCTTGCCAGTTGGATGCATTGGGGCTGTAGACAGCTATAATATGGAGGTGTGATCCTGAGATACTGAGAAGCTGTTTGGTTTGTTATAGCAACTGCGAGAGTTGATAGCTGAACACAAGCCTCATATAGATAAGATGAACAAAACTGGGCCGCAGTTATTGGAATTGAGCCCAGAGGAAGGCTTTTCTATCCAAGAGAAGTATGTGGCAGCTGACACCCTTTACAGTCAAATTAAAGAAGATGTCAAAAAGCGAGCTGTGGCCCTGGATGAAGCCATTTCTCAGTCCACTCAGGTAATCATCTGCACCAGACATACGTTTGGGGTCTTCCAAACAGCAGAGCACTCAGAGACGTTTTCCCAGATCTCCTGATTATTATATTCCAACTAAAATGATTTCACTGCATTATCTCTGAGTATTGATATTTTCATCTCTCAGAGGTGATATTTGCTTGACTCCAGTCCTTATATTTCTCTGTCTGCTTATAGATACAAGAAAAACTAATTTTCAATGATTTAAGAAACAAGTAGTTGTCCACATTGTCCACATATTTAAATAAGTGTCCATCCAGAATAGAATGCAATATTTGCCACTGGGAAAGATAAAATAATGTGTTATTATCATGAACAAAACACTCCCAAGAAGGCAATGAGAAGAATAAATGATGGGCTGAATAAGAAGGAAAAACTATGAAGTTTAAAATGATTTTTTTTTCTGTTTTTGACGATATCTTTTTTAAGAAGTTGCTTTTGAAATTACCTGTGATTTCTGCTTTTAAGATTTGGCTTTTATTATTAGGTATACTGATATTAGAGGGTCCATTTTCTATGATCCCAGGTGAGGATGATTACTTCAATGTTGAGGATAGTGAGAATCTGTGAACGAACAAAGTTTTTATAACTTGGCTTTATTGTCTGTGGTACTTTGGCAAACAGGAGTTTAAAATTCTTTCATTAATCTGATTATGAGTTTGATCATGAATTAAATACAAACTTTTGATTACAGTGTCAGTTCAGGAAACTTACAATTTAAGAAACTGCTTTAATCAAAACTGCCTGTGGATTTCACATTTATTAATATAACTTTTTTAGAATGCCAAAATAGTCAGTAAAAGTGAATCAAACAATCAGTTTTGATAGAGAAAAATACCAAGATTATTGAACTTACTTTAAAAACTTAATTTGAATTAAGATAAAAGGTGAAGCAGCAGATGAATTGCTGCTGTCAGGTGGCCCACTTGTATGTTAAAATATACCCTTTCTTAATGAATACACTCAGTTATGTGCAAGAGGCAGTCCAGTCTACACATAAGCAGTGTGGTGCTGAGAAGGCCATGTGAGTCATGATTTTAGGATGTCTTAATACACCAGCCGGATCTACTTCTTTGGATGGATATGTCAACATAAGGACTAAGATTTAGTTCTTGATTGTGACACTGAACAGATTTTTTTTTTTCATTTAAATGTTCACATTTGGTATCTCAGATTGCTTCCCCACGAGTGATCCCTTTGTTTTACCACTAGTTCCATGACAAGATAGACCAGATTCTTGAGAGCCTGGACCGCATTGTGGAGCGCTTGAAGCAGCCGCCCTCCGTCTCCGCCGAGGTGGAGAAGATCAAAGAGCAGATCAGTGAAAACAAGAACGTGTCAGTGGACATGGAGAAGCTGCAGCCACTGTACGAAACTCTTAAACAGAGGGGAGAGGAAATGATCGCTCGATCTGGGGGCACTGATAAAGACTTATCTGCCAAAGGTAATAATCTCAGGATAAGGAAGCAAATGAACTTTACGTTTAAAACAATTCTAAATGTTCATACTGGTTCCCAACAGTCCAATTGCATATCAGGGTGCCAGATTTTAGAAAAAGTATTACAAATATGACGTGTTTGGGGTTGAAGGCTGTGTATATTAATCCCTTGTTAATATCTCCCTGTGTTTGTAAAATAATTGGTTAAATTCAAAGTGTGCCATTATACAAAAACCATGCATTCTCTGGACCTTTTAAACCAGTTGGTTAAAGCATAACACCAGTAAGACTAAACCTAGGGATTTTTTCCCCTCATTACTAATTACACTACCTTACATCATGGGTACTCTACCCCACATAGCCACAGAAATGGCAACCATGACCACAACCAGCTGTTGTTAAAGATATGAGCTGGGGTCAGAAGAGAAGCATGTGCACAGGTTAGTGGAAATTCATGTGAAGGGTATTCTAGAAACAATCCCAGAATACATATCCTACATTGTTATATTCCTAGGACTGAACAGATGCCTTTACTCTTGATCTGGAGAACATAAAGAATATGTCTAGGTGGTTATTTCACTTTTTTTAGAGTTAAGGAGCCTTGATGAACTTGAAACCCAATGGACTTAGGTCTCCTGTGAACTCACTTGCCTTTGATCATCCACTTTCATCAGGAAGAGCCTTAGCTCAGGAGGAGCTGGACATCCTCAGGTCTTACATTTGTTTGCAATAGGCCATTGGGCCAACTGGTGACCACTAGACCGGGATCCACCAAAATTTGGTCTCATTTTTAGATACCATATTCAATCACTGTTTCTGTGTGAACCAAAATGTTCTGCTTTATTGCTGGAATGGGGCTAACATACTGCCTTTTTGATATTGTTTTGCTCCATAGCTGTTCAGGATAAGCTTGACCAAATGGTTTTCATTTGGGAGAACATACACACGCTGGTGGAAGAAAGGGAAGCCAAGCTACTGGATGTAATGGAATTAGCAGAAAAGTTCTGGTGCGATCACATGTCCTTGGTAGTGACCACTAAAGATACTCAAGATTTCATCCGGGATCTGGAGGATCCTGGAATTGATCCCTCAGTAGTAAAACAACAGCAAGAAGCAGCAGAGGTAAGCAGAATATCCCATTAAAAGTGAAGAAATAAGTGGTAGAACAATGTAAAGTGGATTTTGGGTGCGCAGAGATTCAGAATGACTCTGTTGAAATTTATATTTGGTTCTGAAAGTGGAATGTATAGCGATGCAGTAGGAGGTTAGCACACCCACGAATTTCGCTGAAAGAGTCTGTGTTTTAAGATTTCTCTCTAGCCCAACTGCTTCTGCCTTAATTCAGTGCCTTGTTTTCTTCCTCAGTTTCTAAAGTGATCCAAAGTGACACACTTGGCTGCAGTCTCCTTCCTTGCCAGGCCTCTAACCTTGCTGCCAGTCGTCTGTCTAGACCTGCTCTTGTTGTGTGCCCCTGTCGACTGGGAAGTCCAGACGCCCCCCACAGGGTCTCGGCCCTTCCGTCCTCGCCAGCCTGTGCCCATGTTTCCAGAGCAGTTTTCTGCCGCTAATCCTTGACCAAGCTCCTTCTCTTCTGACACACACAGTGGCTTTCCCCCAAACTGCTCTTTCTAGCATCTGTGTCCTTGCACATGGTTTTTTCTCACCTTAGAATGTCCTTCTTACAAATCCCACTCCAACTTCAAGGTGCAGCTGGATAGTTACGCTCCATGGAAAATCCTTTCTTGTTTACTTAGCAGAGTTAGTCTCTGCAGCCATAACATTTCCTCATGCAAAGGACTACACTCAGTATGACTGATACCATTGATTCTATCTTTGTCTTTCTTAATGGACTCAAAGCCCATGAGTAGAATAGTCATATATATTTCCTGTGTATTCTCAACCCTAATTTAAGGCTTGTTTTAAGCTTGGTAAAGGCTTCTTGAATTAATAAATATATTTAACCAAGAAGATAAAAGCAAAGGTAGAAGACCACGTATCTGTCCCAGTTTTTTGTTTGTTTGTTTTTGTAATTTACATGCCCTCGGGTAAACATATAATCCAGAGCTAGACCATCCTAAATCTACTAAACAAATACATTATTTTGTGTGAGGTCTTCGAACTCAAGTTTTACTTATGTCTATTTTAAATGTGTGTTGTCAAACAAGTCAGTTTGAATAACAAAATGTCTTTCTATGCTTTTTAGTGTTGTGTTGGTTTTTTTTTTTTTTTAAAAGAAACTTGTTCTGGCATTTGTTACATAGAATTATTTCCTGAGTATTGCCTTTATAATAAACATTTGACGTTTGTTACTCAGAGGTTGCTTTTTTCCCTTTAAAATATTCTTCTGTTATCTTTTCTCATTGAAAAGATTTATTGCAAAAACTTAAAAAACAGAAAGAAAATAAAAACTGATCATAATTTCACCTGCTAGAAATAACTGCCACTAATGTCTGTCTGCATCTTTTTTTTTTTTTGGTACATGCCCCTAGTGGGAACCGAACCCAGGAATCTCTGGTCTGCAGGCCGACACTCCAACTGCTCAGCCAAACCGGCCAGGGTTGTCTGTGTGCATCTTTTTAGTTTTAGAGTGATTTTGCTTAAAACTCTAAGGCTACCGTTTCTTATTCTAGGCCATCAGGGAAGAAATAGATGGACTACAGGAAGAACTGGATATTGTTATTAACCTGGGTTCTGAACTCATCGCCGCATGTGGGGAACCTGATAAACCCATTGTCAAGAAGAGTATAGATGAGGTAGGTACAACAAGCATATTTGCTACTCTTTATCAGAATGCTATTTTTTTCTTTATTGATCTGAGAGAGAAAGGAAGGGAGAGGGAGAGACAGATAGAAACATTGATGAGAGAGAACATCGATTGGCTGCCTCCTGCATGTCCCCCACCCGGGATTTGGCCCACAACCTGGGCATGTGCCCTGACCAGGAATCGAACTGGTGACCTCCTGGTGCATGGATCGATGCTCAACTGCTGAGCCACACTGGTCAGACCAGAATGCTATTTTTAAAGATTGTGTTAACTAAAGCATACTTGATAGAAATAGTTGAGAACTTTTGACAATAAAAGGGTTCTAATGTTTATGTTGTAGTTAAATTCAGCATGGGATTCTCTAAACAAAGCTTGGAAAGACCGGGTGGACAGACTGGAGGAGGCGATGCAGGCTGCTGTTCACTACCAGGATGGACTGCAGGTAAGGGGGTTCGCGTGTCTGCCGGGAAAGGGACTCGTGCTGCTGGTGTCTGCAGATTCACACACTGGCACCACCCCAGGGCGCAAGGTGCATGCAGTCCCTCTCCTACTTCAATTCATATTTTGCCTTCAGAAGCTATTTCTGATACTTGAAATATATGCAGATTTCTGTACACATTTAAATACATTTTTATATACACATCCAGTGAAATATCCTTCGAAAATAAGTATTTTAATTTTTTAAGTGAAAGTAAATATTCTCACACAGTATTTTTCACACGTGGCTCAGCACCAGGTCCTGAAATGGAACCGAATCGGTTCTGTTCCCCAGTTGAGTGGAGTAAGATGAAAGGGTAAACACAATCTAAAAATACCACCGAGTTTAACTAAAGTCAGAAGTAAAGAAAGTTGATTCGAAGCCAGTGTTCCCCATGAACTAAAATAGATTTCTCTTTTATTAGGTCATAATCTGTTGTGTAAAAAGCGTTTTCTTCTTTTTCATATATATAAAATTCCTCTTAAGAGTTGTTTTCCACGCCCCTTCAGGGTTCTCATTTCTGTTTATTAGCCATTTTTTAAGTTTTGTTTTTTATATGAAAAATTATCGTGTCGGTTGAGGCCAACTCGGGCTATTTCCTTCTCTACCTTCCTGAACTTTATTCCATTTTCTAACATCAAGGCTGGCAAGAGTTTAATCTTTCATCCCTCCCACCATATGGAAAGGCCTTTCTAAGTATTTCCATAACACCAAGAGAATATTATTTTTAAAGCTCAGATGAGAACATCTTTTCCTTTTTATCATGCCACTCCATTTCTATATTGGTAAAAATAAATATCAGAAGCCAGACTTCATGCCAGCTGAAAAGCATGTTGAACTTTGGAAATAGATGAAAAAAACAAATAAGACCTTATGATAACTTCCCCCCTGTATACCCCCCTTCCATTTCTTAGCTAAAGTGATAATGTATTGGTTAGACATCAGTGACCAGTACTGACGAAGCTCCAGCTCTCGGTGTGTGAGGCCAGGTCATGATTTTCACGTACTGTGGGACGTCATTGAGTTGTACCCTCCTTCGTGGCTGGAGATGTCTCTGTCACCACTTGTAGCCATTTGACCTCAGGAGCCATTAACCATAGGAGGCCACAGGCTAGATGCCGTGATTTATGGTCTCATTACTGCTGTGGTGAAAACAAGGCCCACCATAGGTTAGCAGCATCACCTGTGGGAATGAGGGGCCCCTTGACCTAGTCAGTAGCTGTGGACAGCTTGAAGTTGAAAGCTCCAGAAGTCCCAGAGGTTTCGAGGTTGGTTGTAAAGTGTCTATTACCCTTTGAGACAGCATGGAGGGACCTGGAGAACATTATGCGAAGTGAAATAAGCCAGTCAGGGAAAGGCAAGTATCACATGATCTCACTTATATGTGGAATCTAATGAATAAGATAAACTGGTGAATTAAACAGAACCAGAAGCATGGAAACATGGAACGGACTGATGAACCTCAGAGGGAAAAGGGGGGGAATTAATCAAAGAATTTATATGCCTGTATATGCATAGCCCATGGACACAGACAATAGGGTGGTGAAGGCCTGGGGTGGGGCTGAAACCAGGTAGAGGGGGCAGTGGGGGAAAAGGGGGGGCATGTAATACTCTCAACAATAAAGATTTTTTTAAAATTGTATTCCTCAGATTGCTGCTTAAGTTCTTTGGGTTTATTAATGACAACTTTAAAATGCCAGATCTTTTCCAAGGATTTTTCTCCTCTTATATGGTCTGACAGTTTCATTAAAGTGAAAAATAATTGTGTGTATTTGGTACTTGAAAATAATGTGCTTTGAGTCTTTTTAGGATGTTTTAGTACCTAAAAGTAACAAGAAAAATAGGAGAGTTTAAAGTCTGTGTTGCAATTCAGAATAATAGTCTTAATACTAGTCATTCTATGTACAGGATTTTAATACCAGTCTAAATGATACATAAAGGTTTGGTTGAGTCAAATATTCCCTCAGTGCCAAAAAATAAGGTTTTTGATTATTTGAATAAGCAGATGAGTTTGAACATTTTTCTTTTAGTATATTTACACAATCTGCTTTTAGAAGGACATAAGAGAGCATAGAGAATTTTATTTTCTGTGATTGAATTTATGAAACTTTTTTTCAAATGGGCATTTTAAGTTGTTAATATTCAAGATTCTATTCCAAATAGAATTTTCATTGCAAACTTGGATGCAGAATTGGGGGTGACATCTATTTCATATTTTAGACAACTGTTGCACTACATTGCTGCTTTTACCTATTTAGATGAACTATCTTTATTAATTGTAAAACAGACTCGTTGCATGATACCTTTGCAGGTTTATGAATGTACTTTTCTATAACATCAAGCTGTTGAAGCAATTTCAAATGTATTGTTATAATAAAATGTGGACTAATGTGTCTTTCAGGCGATATTCGACTGGGTAGATATTGCAGGCAGTAAATTAGCTTCAATGTCTCCAATTGGAACAGATCTTGAAACTGTAAAGCAGCAGATTGAAGAGCTGAAGGTATGGGTAGGGGCCAATTTATGAAAGACTTTGCATAATTGAGTATTATATGTTGATTATGAAACTGGTTTAATATAGAACCTGTACCTACTAAGCAGTATATAAGTGCTTAACTAAAGAGTATAAAACACTAATAGTTTTCTTCTTATTAAATCAATACCTGTTTATTTTAGAAAAATCAGAAAATGCAAAGAGGCAAATGGTAGCTTTCTTTTCTTCTTTGGCCACCCAAAATGTTATGTATGTAGAGGTAGTCACACTTGTGATATGATTTATAACCTTTCAGATATCCTCTTTTGGGGGGACAGGATGAGGTATAGGGAGCATGTGTGTATTTTATACATATGTAGATAATACTGTTAGGATTTTTATGACTTTATTACTCAATAACCGATTATTGTCAATATGCATACATTTTTATTGTTTCCATTTTGTTCAGAATAATTCACTTCGTTTTATAGGCTAAAGAACCACACACAGGATCATTGTTTTCTCAAAGTGTTTGTTTTGAAATGTTTCATGTTTTCTGTCTGCTTTCCTCTTTAATTTTGCTTTGGGGTTCTTGCTCTCCAGCTGTGGAAAGGGCTGGGCAGTTTCCTCTTTGAATTCCTCTGGGCTGATCATCCATCAAAGGGGGCTCGGCTATTTCCTTCCTAATTTTAAGTGTCCATCCACAGGCACCTTACGCCATTCTCAATGAGCTCTACTAGATTTTTACATAAAATTATGATCTGGCTTTAAAATTGGAGCCTTTTTTTTTATCTCCAAGAGTGATATAGAATATTTCATTTAGGAAAAAAATATGGGGATTTTCTGAGAATTTTACTGTTTCCATCATTAGATTGGGAATTTTCTTTTTCTTTTTTTTTTTTACTTAATCTGATCATGTGGTAACCCATGATATACTTTATATACATATATGGCTGTGGAGGACTACTTATTTTGGACACTAGTATATATCTCAGTGGTTTTCGTATAGCAGGTAGGTTAGGGAGACTCTCTCTGAAATCATGTTGTCTGAGATTACATTCTAGTTGGTTCACTTTCTAGCTCCATGATCTAGGGAGAGTTATCTGACCAGTCTCACTACTGTGTCCTTAGCTTAAATTGAAGATAAGATCATTTTCTTTATTATAATAGTTTAGTGAGAGTTACTTGAACATAGCAAGTGTTCACTAGACTTTAGTCATTGTTTTTTAATTATTATTTTCATGTGTTTGAAAAATTAAGGGGTTGCTTAGTGATTAATTACTATTTAATTATTTACGGTTACACATTAAATATTTTATGAAAGGACAGTTTCCTATTACAAGCAACCATTTGTTAACCTGTGTTGGTTGGCAAAGCCAAGATTACTAAATAGGTGCCATTAAGCACTGGGAGAGAAAAGGGTGTTATTCTGAGTCAGTAGTAGCTGAGTCATAGGGAAAACTAAATATTAATGAACACAGGACAGCTATAGAAGACAAAATGTTCAGCGGATGTAAAATATGTGTATATATTTGAGCAAGAAATATTAGAGTTCCTAGAGATATTTTTCTGAGTTTTATATATGTCCACAATAGACTTTGCTTTCTTCTTTGCTGTAATTTAAAAATTCATTTATTAGACATTGGAATAAGTTCAGCCTTGAAATTTGTTAATGTTTTATTGTAGAGTACAGAAGTGAAATATCAAAATTATAAATAGAAACATCTTTCCATCAGAAAACATTGAATAAAGAGAAAATATTTCTCCTTTTTTATATATAACTCTTATTGGTATACTGTGTGTTACGTTTTAATTCCTATTCACCTCCCACCCAGAATAAAGGTCTAACTCATAGAATTATTTTTCTTTAAAGTTACTGATTTATAACAAAATTTTCTTCTATATCTCTTTTTTTTAAAAAGCAATTTAAGTCAGAGGCCTATCAACAACAGATAGAAATGGAAAGACTAAACCATCAAGCAGAGCTTTTGCTGAAGAAAGTAACAGAAGAAAATGACAAACACACTGTGCAAGACCCACTAATGGAGCTGAAATTGATATGGGATAGTCTGGATGAGAGAATTATCAACAGACAGGTAAATACCAGGACTTTTGTTAAGAATTTATAAAACCCCAATTTTATGTGTTAATGTAAAATAATTATTAAAAACTAAAATTAAGTGATTACTTTGGAAACCCCTAAGTTCTCTTATTTCATTAGAGCTCTTTCTGCTCCTCGTAGGCCATTTTTAACTATCAGCGTTTCCGACTTAGAATGAAGAAGTTGATGGCGATTGGGCTTCGCTGGCTATGCGTACAGACTTACGCTGCATGAAACAATCAATCGATTTGTTGCTCTTGTTTTATAAATGTACGTTATTCATCATATCAGATTCATACATACATGGATTTTTTGTCCTCTCTACTTTTTCTGTAGCATAAGCTGGAGGGTGCTCTGTTAGCCCTGGGGCAGTTCCAACATGCCCTGGATGAGCTCCTGGCGTGGCTGACACACACTGAGGGCTTGCTGAGTGAACAGAAACCTGTTGGAGGAGACCCTAAGGCCATTGAGATTGAACTTGCCAAGCATCACGTATGTTGCTGTTGTTGCATATTATGTTTCTTCCCTATGCATTTCCAGTTTCATTCGTTTTTTTGTTCTTTATGCATTTTTCAAGTTTGCAATTTTAACACAACTTCTTATTTGACATTTGTAACTAAAGGTTAAGCTACTTAAAACATAATTCTTTTTTATGTTGTTTTGTTTTTTATCCTTACCCGAGGACATTTTTGCAATTATATTTAGATAGAGCAGTAGGGAGAGAGGGGGGAAGAGAAAGAGAGAAACACTGACATGAGAGAGACACATCGACTGGCTGCCACCCACACAACCCCAACCAGGGCCAGGGACAAACTGCAACCGGGGTATGTACCCTTAGCAGGAACCAGACCTGGGGCTCTCCAGTCTGCGGACCAACGTTTTAAAGCCCAAACCAGCCAGGGCTTTAAAAGATTATAAAAATATTTTTCTCATTGTTCAAGGCAGTTATTATAAAAAAAAAAACAGCAAGGATGGGAAATTTCTGGCTGAATTTTATTAGGGCTGCATGGCAAACACTGTTATACCTGTCATCAGATTAATGTAGCATAGTTCTAAAAGTTGTTGAGAATAGCCTAATAAGTTATAGATTCAAAATATTGTTCCACTGCAGGCTGTGTGTGTTTTCCCTCTGTTCACCATGGATCTCTCACTCGCTGCTTGATGGGCATGTCTAACATTTCTGTCTATACATCTCTCATTATGTTGAGGCTTTTTCTTCTGCCTCTTTGTCTCTTTTTCCACTAAGCCGTCTCTCGGCCTGCTGGGATCCATGCAACGCAATGAAACTACAAGCACACGCTGCTTGGAGTGAGGGGGAGCTTTGTAAGGTAGCAAATGCTCCAGATCTCTGCATGCAGCCCTATTTATTTGCAGATTGGTACCCCCAGGTCACAAGTAGATTTAAGTAAATTATTTCCTTGATATGGCATTACTGCATACACCCTAGCTTTGTCTCTTGCTTTTTACAGGAAGAGACCTTGAAGCCAAAAGATAACAAACCCGTATTCACATGCAACTGAAGCACCCAATACACCTGGGCAGGCCAGGTCCCCCCTCCCCCCCAGCCCCCAGGATTCTGAGAATGCACTAATTAACACAAGGTTGAGAGTGCTTAACACAAGGTTAAAAAACATCCATCTTCCAACCCCCCCTACCTCATTCCATTGGCCTTCTGTTCTTAGTCCTTTTCTTCACACTTTATGTTTAAAAGAATTTTTATATATCCTTTTCTTGATGTAAAGCTTAAAAATTGAAACTAGATCTGTGCAATACAATTTTATGTTGTTGTCATCTTTGTGACACTTGTTTGATAATTCTTAATAGAAAATTCCCTGTCACTTAAGTTATTTGGCTTAATGAACAAAAGGTTATGTGCTCAGTAGCATTTATTCTGACATTCAGCAGTTTCCCATAGAACCTTAGCATTCACATTAATAGTGGTATCTTATTTAAGTTTAGGTCCTAAATCCTAACCTTAAGTAAGATTTTTTTTTTTGATTGTCAAATATAAAAAAGTTTATTTTACATATTTAATATCATTAAAAGTAAAAGGCAGTATTTAGCACTCTAAATTTATGATATACAGTTTTGAATACTCTTGCTTTAGCTTTTCTTTTGTACTTTTTCCCACAGTAATTTTTTCTTAATTTAAATTTTTATTCCTTTTTATACTTCGTTCTGTCTATATTTGTAGTCATTGCCCAATCATATTTGATTCAATTAGAACTTATGCATCATTAATACTTTTCATTATTTAATGTCTATATTATATCTTTGCTAGGAGCAGTAATGACTAGTCAGACTGATTCTGCATATAAACAAACTATGTTTATTTTCATAGTGTGAGTTTATAGCGTTAACACATCATAAACTTAACAAATGCCCTAAAGGTCACATACATTAGTGATGGAAACTGTAGAATGTGGTAGAGGTGGAAAAATGAGACACCCTCATCCAGTTACTTTGGTGAGGGGTGAGTTAGGGACCTTTTCTTTCTTCTAATTTATCTTTGAGCAGTTAAAAATGGGTCCTTTTCTTCTTTCATGTCTTAAAGGTCAAACATTAAAGGACTTAGAATTGCCAGCACAATTGCTAGAGAAAGGGAGGAAATGTTTCTATTCCTTTCTTGCCTTTTTCTCGGGCTCCTAGGCTGTGGCTTATATAGGACTCGGACAATTTAGAAGAATGAATTTTATAGGCTCATATGTTATATTTTGACCACGAGAATATTTAAATCTGATCTTTTAAAGGTGATCTCTAGTGTTAACATATCAAAGAGCATGCTTATTACAAAGAAGATTCCTTGCTCAGTTGATTTTCTAGTCATTGAAAATCAGTCCCTTCCTAGTTGACTCAGAAAAGGAGTAGATACTGTTAGAGAAACAGTGACGATAGGTGAGCAGTGCCCTTCAGGAGAAATCCTGCCTGCTCTGGACTTCTCTCCAGCTGCGAGATGTTTTACCGAGGACTGGAGGTGATGTTTCTTTTCTTTCCCATCCACAACCCTGAGGCAGTGAGTGTAGAGAAGGATTATCATCCAGTCTTACTAACATTAGAGGAAGGATTCATCTGGTTGCCAAAAACAAAACCACAGTCTTCTTCAAAGGAAACTGTTACTAAGTTATATTTGTTCTTTAAAGTGTAATTCTTATCATTCTTTTCAGGATAAAAAAAATTGATCTCTGTAGCCTTGCAGTGGTTTTCTGATCTTTACCACTCTTGCCTCTATGTTAGTGCATTTAAGTGTGACTAACCTGTTCTAGTATTTCCACTCTATATTAGAATAGCAAGGCATTCTTTACTGGGTTCTGTAGTAAGTATTTCATATGTGTATTTTCTAGTAAAAGAAGAGCTCGACTTTGAAATGCTGGGCTTGAGTATCCCTGATATACAGTGAAACAAATCTCTTTCCCTTTAGCGTTAGGGCCTCCAAGAGTCCTGTCAACTTAGTAGTCAGTTCTAGCACCATTTCAATGAGAGAGGATGAAAGAATAGTCTATGATAATTTTTCCCTTTTAGAGTGCCAGTTGTAAAACATGATGCTGTTTATCTTAGAGATATAACAGTTTTATATTTGAAAGTGAATATATAGAAGTAAATATATTTTAAACTGTTTACTTAAAACATTAAAATTAAGTTCAATTAAAAGGAGCTTGAATCAAATGAATACTTTTAGAGCCTTATAATGTCGAGGTACTTAATGTCATCAGTTGCCAAGTGATTCTAATGGAAAGAACTAGCAATGGTGTCACATCATAATGTCAGGGGATGTTGGTAGACAGGAAAGCGGCAAAGGTAAGGTAAAAGAAGTTCATCATTTTAAAACTCATTAGTATTAAAATTAGATGTATATGATGTTTTTGTTTCAGAATGTTTCAAAACCAGGAAATAAACCAGTTGCATTAAAAGGGAGGTTAATATGTTATAAACTAACAACCATGGTGTTATCTTAATATTTTCAGGTGCTCCAAAATGATGTATTAGCTCATCAGTCCACAGTGGAAGCTGTTAATAAAGCAGGAAATGATCTAATTGAATCAAGCGCAGGAGAAGAAGCGAGCAGCCTTCAGAACAAACTAGAGGTCTTAAATCAACGCTGGCAAAATGTTCTGGAAAAAACAGAACAAAGGAAGCAGCAGCTGGATGGTGCCTTGCGCCAGGTGAATGAGAGAATGCGTTCTGGAACTTTCTATAGCCTTCAGGACCAGAATAGCATGGGCTTAGTTCATTGGTTTGCAGACCTCTGCTTAACTTTCCTACCTCAAGGAGAAGAGTAAAAATAAGTGGGTTAAAGAACAGAGCTGATGAGAACTCAGCTCTCTAGTTCTTAGTGTAATAGTCTTATCCACCAGCGCCCTCCTGAAGAGGAAAGGCAAGGCAAACCTATCTTGTGGCCCCTGGCCGTTCTTAGAATGCAGAGAGAGGCTTAGCCTACTGGATTGTTTAAACCTTGTTTTCTGCTTGAAAGTGACAGTGTTTATGGCCCAGTCTTAACGTTTCTGTCACTCTAGGCCAAAGGGTTCCATGGCGAAATTGAGGATTTGCAGCAGTGGCTGACCGACACGGAGCGCCATCTGTTAGCATCTAAACCCCTAGGAGGTTTACCAGAAACAGCCAGGGAGCAGCTTACTGCCCACATGGTAAGTCTATTATTTCCTACAGCTCTAGCCTGAGATTAAGAAACTGACCATTCTGTATGGGCCCTGGCGATAAATATATCGTGGCAGAAGGCTTAAAGGATATACAGTTTTACAGCAGAAATCTCTATGTATCAGTGCTAGAAACACCATTTATTGATTCAGATTTTCAAGTCAGGACCTGTTCTTTATTTCAAAGGTTAGTGTGTCAGTACATGAAAAGAGGTTTCAGAAGTCTGGACATTTTTCAGAAGTATACCTTTCTCCCTAGAAGTGATAAACTCGTATGGATAGATAAACATTGTGTAAATTAAAAACTGTTGTTCATTGAGTGAAAAGTCCCTAAAGAAATTAGAATTGACTTAACATTTATTGCTGTGATCATGGTATATCCACCTTGTTTCATAGAAGGCTGGAAAATATGTTTTTGTTCTATTAAAACAAAGTTACTTATTTGTTTTAATGGTGATGGGGCTGTGCCTTCAGCTTCGCACTAGACCAGATATGGACAAGAGGAGGCGCCTGTTTGGTTGTCCAATCTGGAGCGTTCTGCCTGTGGGCTGTTCCCACCCAGATTCTGTGGCACTGTCAACGCTGAAGGCTAAGGAGGAAAAAATAGTTAAACTCGCGACTCTGGCTTTCTTTCATAGAGATATGGACCGACACATTAAATTTAGACTGTCTTTGATTTATTGACATTTGTTATTCATTTTCCACTATAATTCAGCTCTAGAAGTTCTAAGAGAAAATAGTCTGTTTCAGATTTTGAAAACTAATCCTCTAATTCTTACACTTGTGAATTTGCATCAGGAATTTATTTTAATATTCAAATGCTGATAATTAGTATCTTATGAAATGAAAGTAGAAGTACTTAGGGATTTGACAAAAGAAATGGGCCACTGCACATTAAAGTCTGTGTTCTTTAGCAGATGTCTAAGGTTGTTATAAGAGCTTATTAAAATTGCTTATTTGGGAATAATTTTGAATTAGGTGATTTGGAGAGGAAGTGACCATCTTGTAGGCATTGTGAAGAAATACAACAGAGTTAACAGCTTATTCACTTCACAATTGCCATGAGCAGTTAAAATAAATCTTATTAATCCAGTATGGAATTTTCTAGAAACCTTTCATGCATATTCATTATTTTAGAAAATTATTGTGTCTATGGTTTTGTTGTTGTTACTGTTGTTCTAGATGTTTTTTGGTGCCACAAGTGACCATTGAAAGTAATCGATTAAATAATAACTTGGGAGTGTTTATGTTTTCCATAAAACTTGATTGACTTTCAGATACTTCTTTACTTTCCTGGAAGTACCTATGTAGCTATTATAGTGTTTGTTAAGTATATAAGTGTAATGAATTCTTGAATAAACACACTGGGATTAATCTCCAATAACAATTATTTTTTCAATGATAATTTAGAAGAATATAGGTAAAAAATTGGAAGCAAACAGCTTATCTTTAAGATATTTTACTTTTAGAAAAATATTGGGTATTAGCTTATGTGGTTTGAGTAGGGAATTTAAAATAAATTTGTCATAACCTGACATAATTTACCAGATGATATAGATTCCAAGAGTTAAGGAATTCTAAAGAGTTATTGATATTTATAATATATTTTTAGTAATACTCTTTTTGATTTGGTTGTGTTAGAATTGAGGGAAACCAGAAAACCTAGAATATTATGGTTTCCTGAGATTTAGCTATATTTAAAAGTCTTGCTTTCGAAGTAAAAGTTTTCAAATGGTGATGATATAAATATGATTAGAAAGGGGTTTTTTAAGGCCTAAGAAATTATAAAGTTTTGAGGCAATGAATATGTTCTGGAGTTATTAGTAATAGTTGAACATCCTTGTGAATATGCTAATAAAACACTGAATTCTACACTTTAATAGGTGAAGTCTTTGAATTATATTTCAGTTTAAAAAATTATAAAGTTGAAAATGTTAGACATGGAATATATAATTTTTCAGTGGAAGCTATGATTTGACCCACATTATAAAGGAATCAATGTAACTAGAACTAGTCTTATTTTTTTTTTTACATGAATATAGTTGTTTCCTTAATTTTAAATTCTGAATTTGTTTAAACAGTACTTTGAAAATATTCTCTATAGAAATTACACATTGCATTCTAGTTGAAAGCTTTAAAAATGTTATAAATGAGAATAATTTTCTCATAGTACTACAAGTTTGGCTTTTGTGATTCCAAAGTCTTAATAATCAACTTCAATGTCTAACTAGATTGGATCTTTACTTTCTATCCGCTGGATGTCTTCTGAGCCCAGAATTAAATCATACCAAAAATATTACAGTTATTGTATTACATAGTCCGAGGAGAGACTTAGAACCTGCTTTACAGAGAAAGAAATCGAGGTTCGGTAAGGTTAACTTACTTGCCAAAGGCCACAGAGCTTATTGGTTACCGTACAGTGAAGCCTTTCTTGGTAACATGAAAAATATAGCTTCAAAAATCTTCGCATACCAGATTGGCTTGGTGATGATGGCAGCATTTCTGAGGTTTCTTTGTAGGCAGGGTATGGCTGTAGGCTTAGGTGTTGTTTCAGTATAGTGAAAAGTTTGAATGTGTCAAAGTTAGTTTGTATCCTGGATAGAGACGAACAGTTGATAAGTGGCTTGGGATTGATGACCTGGAATAAGAACTCTTAGATTTGATTCTCTTAAAAAATGATATAACGTGGGGGTTGGATATCTCAATTTAGGAAATCTGTGCTGCCTTTGATGTTAAAGAAGAAACATATAAGAGTCTGATGCAGAAAGGCCAACAGCTGCTTGCAAGATGCCCCAAATCTGCAGAGACAAATATTGACCAAGACATAAATAACTTGAAAGAAAAATGGGAATCGGTGGAAACCAAACTCAGTGAAAGGAAAGTATGTGCCTTGATGAATATAATGTTTTAGTTGTTTTATTTCATGGGTTTTACCTTATCTCTGAGTAGCATGATTGGTAGAACTTTTAATGCTCTATGTTTGAATTTTCTTTGTGTACATTAGGAGGTTTCATAGGGTCAGTTGAAAATAGTATTTTGTCTTAACATAGAAGAACAGAGTTAAAGGAATCTATTCAAACATAGATAATGGTATATCATAGATCACTATTACTAGGTATATTTTTAAATTTGTGAAACTCTGGAATTCTGGCTTGTTAAATAATTCTATTCTAATCACACTTATTACGCAAAAGAGTGTTTGTGGGGGAAGAGACAGAAGGAGATCAAGAAAATGAAATAATTGTCTACAGATAGCAAGCACTTCCATGGCAAAAATCCATGAGACAGGATTAAAAATATGACTGTTTAATGCTATAAGAAAAATGGTAGGATAGGAATACTAGATTGTATGTCCTCACTGACACAGCATATGTATATTTTATAGTATTGCAATTCCAAAAATTAATCATATGAGGGTCAAGTTTTCTTTGTAGAGATTCTGTTTAGTAATTGGGTTCTATGGTTAACTGACCCCAAACCACAACTAAATGCATATTAAAATGTTTTAGCTGCAGTGAGATGCTTCCTACTGTACTTCAAGGGGCTTGGTTTGCCAGTGCCTTTGTGAAAGCCCATTACATTAATAAACTGTTCAGGTAATGTAGCTTATGCGTAAATAAAGTATAGATGGAAAGGATATCTGCCAGAGATTGGTGTAACTGTGAGAAAAAAAAAACAACAACTCTTAAATATCGTCAAATGCTAAATAATCTTTCTTCGCAGACTAAACTGGAAGAAGCCCTCAACCTGGCAATGGAATTTCACAATTCTCTCCAAGACTTCATCAACTGGCTTACCCAGGCTGAACAGACCCTAAACGTAGCTTCTCGGCCAAGTCTTATCTTGGACACAGTCTTGTTTCAAATCGATGAACACAAGGTATGCCATAACTCTCATGGACAGCACTCTCATTTCAGGCTTTTTAGACAGCAGGCTGTTTTAATGTCAAAAGCATGAATTTGACAGTTTGAAAACTTTCTTTGGTCCTTTGAAATAGTTTCAGCTTATGACACCAGAAGCATTTTCCAGATAGATCAGTTTCTCATTTGTTTCTAATTTTACCCTTTCTTTTTCTTTTTGGGAAAGGTCTTTGCCAATGAAGTAAATTCTCACCGTGAGCAGATCATAGAGCTGGATAAAACTGGAACCCACCTGAAATATTTTAGCCAGAAACAAGACGTTGTCCTGATTAAGAATCTGCTTATCAGTGTACAGAGTCGCTGGGAAAAGGTGGTTCAGCGGTTAGTAGAAAGAGGAAGATCCTTGGATGATGCAAGGAAGAGGGCCAAGCAGGTAAACCTTTATCAAAATCCTCTGAACTTGGCAATAAATCAGTTCTAGCTGTTGAAATATGTTATTAACGTAGTTTTATCACAGGCTCTGTTAGGTGTAACGGTCCTGGCACGAAGCCCAAGTGTGTATTTCCTGGAAGGGCTGTGGCCTTGGCTGGGATGATGACATCACTTTTTGACCCAGCAGCAACTTCAGACCCTGGGGACTAACCTTGGAAAGACTGATTATCGCTTGACTTCATAGACAGATCATTGTCTTAAAGCCCCAAAAGAGGCTCAAAATTTTGGTTATTGGATTCGTTTGTTTTCTTTGTCCTTTCAACCTCTCATATTCAGAGTGAGACATCGTACTTTATTACCTTGCTACCATTAGTTCCTAAACCAAACTCTCTTCAAACTGTCGGAGCTGAGACACAGACATAGTGCCTTGTAGACAGCTTTCCGAGGGGGTACGCTGTGTCTCAGTGTGTCGGTACTCCTCAGCTCTCTGAGTCTGTGCACTTGTTGGCGGAGCCTTTATTTCTTTTCTAATATTTTGATACAGCTCCATCCCACTTATAAATTGCTTGACTGTTCTGGGGTGGCCGTTTTGTGTTGTTTTGTTTTGTTTTTTAATCTAGAGACACTCACAAGGACCTTGCTTCCTTCCTTCACCTGTCACTAAATCCTATTCTAGACTAAACACAGAGAATAAAACTACGTGTCTTTGTTCTCCACAGAAGAGAAAAAAATGCGCCCACCTTGCTTGGCATATAGCTTTGATTTTTACTAGAAACCAGAACGTGTGATATTGAGGCTGAATTTTTGACTGTCCTTGTCCTGTTCAGTTGCATTTGTCCATCATCGGTGCTGGACTTCATTGTGTGGGGGAGCTAGGCTCAGTTGGGTGATACGGAGGATGTCATGGGGGTCTAGTGTTTCAGTGTTGAAAGCTATCGGCATACGTTTTGAAAGGCTTTAGAAATGACAAATTACACCGTTATAGGATTACATACCATAGATCCTTTTTTGAGTGGGAGGTATGATATATGCAGTGTTTTAAGTGAGTCCCTGGAATGAAACTGGTCTCTAATGATTTTGTAAGACAGTATTAATGCCGAGCCTGACATTTTTCTCTCCATATATGTAACAGTGTCATCTGTAGTTTAGGTATTTCTGAGTTATGAACACCTCGCTATAAAAATCTCTTGGATGCCAGAAGCCGGTATCCCATTCTCTTCCTCCCTCCTCCATTTAATCAATTTTATTTTCCCAGCTTGCTTAATTAACTGTCTGAGAGTTTTCTCTTGGTCTCAGTGCAAAAGCATAACATCTCTTCTATTGGTATGACTTTAAAATAGTTTTGAAAGTAGGACCAGCCTTAGGACCTGTGTGTTTATGCCATTCAACGTACCATCTAACTGCTACAGCCAGTGTTATTTGTAGTTAAGATTACCTAACACCGTGACTAGCTGTATCTTTATTTGTTTTTATTCTGAGATCTGTGTGGGGCTCAGATGTTGACCATTGTTCTCTGACTTTGACAGTGCATGTGCCTCTTTCTGGCTCTGTGTTTTCGTGTTTAAATTGATTGGAGTCATGGGAGGGGTGTGTAGGGAGAGCAGGTTTGTGATGAGATGATCTCTAGGGGCCCCTGCAGCTCTGTGATTGTGCTGTTTTTGTAAGAAGTGTCTTTTTGTTATTTCATTATTAATGTGCTTTGATATAAAACACATTTTATTTTGATTACTTAAGTCTTTGCTATGTCTCTGTTCACTTAAGTTTATTATGAGACATAATTTATAACCGTTTTCACAACTTCATCTCCAAAAATAGTACCCACTCGTTCTCAGTGATAAACAGAAAACAGACTGTGGGTGAAATGAAATATATGTAGCACCAGACTATTTCAAGGTCATAGATGACAAAGAGAATTATATTTTGTTAGTACTCAAGCACTGTGGGTGCTCTTACATATTAAACCAATTATGTGAAGCATGGGCATGGATCTGAGGATTTTGATAGCAACAGTAAAGATGTTCAGCTATCACTGCAATACATAGGAATGAAATGACCTCTTTTTGTGCCTGTTACTTTTTAAAGCCAGTTTACGAACTTTATCCTCTCTCTCCCGTTTTGTTCCTTTTCTTAGCCTAAGAATTAAACACCTTAGAATAAACCCAGATCCGTCAAGAGACAGCAGGAAGCAAATAAAATTCTCTGAGAGTTGATGTTAATTATTAAGCAAAGGGAAGGGAGGGAAGTTCCCCCTGGTGCTTTCTAACTTTCCTAATTTTTGTTGACCTTCGTGTGAATGAACGAATGATAGCAAAGTGACCGTGAGGCAGGGCCACAGACGCCAAGTGTTGACAAGGCAGTTTGTAATCTGCTGGTGAAACTACTCCTCTTTCCTTCTTCGGGGGAATTGTTGAATTAATCGTTTTCATGAACGTTAATTTCTATTTTAAATAAATACTAGATTTTAAATACAGTGAGTGTACCAGAAAGTTCTCTGGACAAAATGTGAATTTCTTCACAGTTCCACGAAGCGTGGAGCAAGCTGATGGAGTGGCTGGAGGAGTCAGAAAGGTCTTTGGATTCTGAACTGGAAATCGCCAACGATCCGGACAAAATAAAAACACAACTCACCCAGCACAAGGTGGGTCTACAATTAAGAAAAGCAAATTGTGTCTTTATATATTTCACGATCACTTTTCAGTTCTTACTTGCTTGTGCATTTTATTCATCACTAGAGCAAAGAAAGGTTCTTCAGTGTGAACTACATGAAATTGAAAACCAACTGCCCTTCCCACTGGTCAAGTGGCAGTAGTCTCTCTCCTCTCTAGGGACCATTCCATTATGATTCAGGATTAATTGATAAAAGAAAAAAAGACAAAATTAAAGCTGGAAGTCTTCTTACAATCTAAAACATAGAATGGATTTGTAAGGGTTCAAACATTGGCATTTCAATGTTATCACAATGGTTTCATCTTGTATTTTCTTTCAGAGGCCCATGTAGAAGATAATTTTATAGTGAAAAGTAATGTGAATTTATTTTGGGGAGTTGCATTGGGGAAAATTGGTTTCTTCTGCCTAAATTGGCATTATCTTGTGTATGTGTGGGCACATGAAACTCCATCCTTACCCTCAAAGACACAGTGCCACTGGCTTCCTTGTGTAGATAAGAAGATGTAGAAGCATTGCATTTTATGTTTTCTACCTTTTCTGTTCCTGCTACATGGCATTCAAAGAGAATTTCTTCACCCTCCTCACATCTATTGAATTTGGGTCCTTCTGCCATTCTGTTTCATCATCAGCACTCAGGGTGAGGGTGTGGGTAAAAGGAGAGTGTTCCTGCAAACAGATTTACAGTTCTGAGCATCTACGTGTCAGTCATTGCTTGAAACATGATCATTATAAAAGGATGGAGAAAATCGGAACAATGTAAGGTCATTGTCAGAAAATTCTAGCCATCATCTTCACGTAAGTTGGTTGCTTCCATTGGTGCCTCTAACCTCTGAGGGTCGTCATCCTCGGACAATGGAAGGAAACATTGAGCATCTGTTTTTGACTCTGTGAGGGCTGGTGAGTGGCGTGTTCTGCTGGTACTTTGTGTCCCTGAGCTGCCGCATCTAATACTGGCTACACAATGACTGAGCAGTACCTTCCTTCCTTCCCCTCTGATGGAAAAACGAGAGCCTCCTTTTCCATAGAGAATGGCTTATTTTAACTTGATCATGGATGTCGTGTCACGTAGTCTTATGAAAGTATATTGGATATTTAAATGAGAAAATCCTAGAAATAAGAATATGCAAAGGAGATTCTCAATTTTCCCTAGTGTGACCTATTGCCATAATCATCATTTCTCTCAAATAAAGATTCAAGGTACCTTAAGCCAGTTTTCAAAGAAGTCTTTTAAAAGTCTTTTCTGTATATTTATTTGGGTACATTTTGTTTTAAAAAAGTTTTAACCTACCCTGTATTCAACTATAACATTTATTATGTATCTGCTATGTGAAGAAAATCTGGCAATATCATGATTTTAATGCTAGCATTCTGTTTAGAATAATATGAAAAAATAATATGTACAGAAAACAAACTGCAGAAATAGTGTGATATTGTAATGGTGTTCATTGCTAAAAAAAATTCTCAGATGTGGTTGCTTCGTTTTACAAGGCACAATCAATATCCCAGTCATTATAAGACACTTAAAGTATCTCACTTTTAAAGGCAATAAAAACTTATTAGGTAATTGTAACTGAGATTATGTTGGAAAATCCTATATTTGCATAGCATTTTACTCTCTGTGATTCTAATGTGCTTGCAGGATTAAGAATTGTGGTATTAAGTGTTCCCATGATATTCTATGAGCTTGTAAGCGGCCTATTCAGTTGGCCTTGCTTTCTTCTCATCCTTGGGATTATATATTCAATAGCAGTTGTCTCTTTCTTTCTGTTACATGCTTATAAACACACATACAGTATAACCTACAAAGACAGTATCCGAGCTCCATCCAGAAAGGCTTATAATTGAGTTGTGTAGAGAGAACAGCATTCATCCCTCCCACACATATTCACATAAACATGAAGATTAACAGTGTAAAAAGTAGCAAAGCATAGACGTCATAGTATCTTTTGAGACTTCAATAGGTTCTTATAGGGGTGCAAGCCTCCCAAGTGGTGTGAATAGACTGACCAGTCGATCCACACATAGGAATCTATAGATGTGGTTCTCATTTGTCCCTCATCTGACTGCACAGATAAAATTACAGGTAACGTTATTGTGAATATCGAAAATGTGTGCCAATAAATGTTTGACCAAAAAAACCCCTACTAAATGTATACATTATTGAGTCACTCCGTGTCCTTACTAAACCTGTAGTTACTCATAGAACGTTAACTACACTTTCCTCCCAAAACCATGCAATTTTCAACAGTCTATTAGCAATTCCATGTTAGCATACTGTTTGTGGTTTATAGCTACAAAAGGTTCGGGATTTGTCTTATTTTGAAATGGTTTTCTTGATGATAATAGGTGCCCTAGGAGACGCCTGGCTTCTGAGAAAAAGAAATCTTTCGATTTGATAATTTAAAGATTATTTTCTAGACTGATATGTTCCTGTGTAGAGTACAGGACTGAACTATTTGACTTGATTATTTGCTGACGTCCTCCAGTGATTAGACCCCATTTATTAGAGATGTCTCTTTGAATGTCTCTTACCTCTTTGTTTATTTGTCCCAAGCTTAAAACACATGTCATTTTCTGGTTTAATATCCAGGAGTTTCAGAAATCGCTTGGAGCCAAGCATTCCGTGTACGACACCACCAACAGAACTGGACGTTCTCTGAAGGAGAAAACCTCCCTGGCTGATGACAACCTGAAGCTGGATGACATGCTGAGTGAGCTCAGAGACAAGTGGGACACTATTTGTGGAAAGTCTGTGGAAAGGTAAAATGTTCGTCAAGGCAGTTTGGTTACCTTGTGGCCCTCTTTCAGATACACAGGAACCGTGCTCTGCAGGGACATTTTAGAAACCATGAGTGTGTCCTTTTCAGGGAACTGCTGGTCCTTAGTCCCCCCGCCCCCCTCCCCAACACAGTACCTGCACTGAGAAGGCTTTGCTGCCCATTATGATTTATTTCTGACTACTCAATTCACTCCAAGGTGAGAATGTCCTCCAAGCTTGTGTCATCTCACACCTGCCTACAGCAACTGCCTTCCGACTGGTCTCCCCAGCTCTGCTATTGTCCTCCTTAATCCAATTTCTGCATAGCTACTAGCGCGGTCTGTAAACGGACATTTGTCGTTCCTCTGCTTTGTACCCTTCAGGGACTTAATATCGGTGTGAACTAAAGTATAGACTCTTATTGTGCAAGGCCTACTGCTCTGACCTTGCGTTCCCCTCCGGCTTGCGTCCACCCATCTCTGATCTCCCTCTTTCTCATTACACTTCAGCTGTAAAGGCCCAACACTTCTTTCAAAAGGTTAAGTATTTAAGAAAGTATGATTGTACTGAAAGAGTTAAAAAATCTTAGAAATGGTTCCTTGTCCATTTCTACAGAGTTTTCCTTGATCCTTAGTCAAATAACTTTTATCAAGAGTAAATAGAATGTTCTATTACACTCTAGGGAACGTCACAGTAAGTTTTTTTTGTGTTTTTTAAAAATTGTTAAAATCCTCTCCAATCTCAAAAGGTCATGCCTTTTACAATGTCATATAGTCAGATAAATGATTTCTTTTATATGACATTCTTGAAAAGACAAAAGCTCAGTAATGGCAGACAGATCTGTAAATGCCGGCGGTTAGAGATGGGGCGGGCTGAGACTATACGGAGACATCACGAGGGAGATTAGGGGGATGATGGCACTGCTCTGTATCCTGACTATGATGATAATTACATGAGTCTATCTATACATGTGTTAAAATTCATGGACCTGTGTACTCAAAAACCTCAATTTTACTGTATGATAATTTAAAACAAATTTAAAAATATATATATAGATATATATATTTTTGTTGTTGTTGTTGTTAAAAAGTCATATTTTCATGAAGAAACTAAAGGGTCTGTGATTTCCAAAGGTGATGATGAGGGAATTTTCCTGGGACAAGATGCTATGTATTTAAGGAATAAAATAAGATTTGAGAAAAGCGTTATTTCCTAAGGAAAGCAAAGAAACAGCAGTGAATACCAGTATACCGTTTTTCTCTCTTGAGTACTGCTCAGACTTCATCAATGAATTTTAGCTGTGAGGATGTACAAACAGGCTTGCTTTTTAGTTGTTTAGACAGATTTTTTTTTTTTTTTTAACTTTTCCCCAGACAAAACAAATTGGAGGAAGCTCTGTTATTTTCCGGACAATTCACAGATGCCCTGCAGGCCCTCATTGACTGGTTATATAGAGTGGAACCCCAGCTGGCAGAAGACCAGCCTGTCCATGGAGACATTGATTTAGTGATGAATCTGATAGATAATCACAAGGTATTGTTATCTGGGTCATTTTATTCATTTGATTTGATTATTCTGGGTATAGAAGAAACTGTGACCACTTAACTTAGCCTTTGATCGTCTTGGAGATTATATATCAGGCTACATAACAGTCTTTAATATTGAAATGCACATTTGAGTGGAATCAGGAAGCCAACTTTAAAAATGGTGTAGGAACATTACTTTAGTATCAATGAAATACTTTTGTTTCTAATTTCCAGATCCAGGACCTTTTAGAACTTGAAAAAGTAATTTCATTCTCTGGTGCTTTAAAACATGTTTCAACAATGTTTTAGTGTCTTTTTTATTCATTTAAATAATTATGTAATATAATTTAAAATCATTCATTCAGTGGCCTGGAACTCGATCATTGCATAAGTGGATAGATTTGTGACATGATCTGTGGGGGTCATGGTCAGCTGCTTTTCTTTTAACTGTTTTAACCTTGCCCCTTGTAGTTTTAACTACAGCAGCTTATGAGACAACAGAATATGCTGTGGGGGATTTAATGATTACTTCTAGAAAATTGGTTTCCTTGCAATCTCCTGATAATGTATGTTAAAACTGTTGTGCAAATCAAAGGTCATAGTTGAGACCTCCAGCTGATACTGAGTGTAAGGTCCTAAATTATGATCAAGTGCTGTGTTATAACTTAAAGAGTCTTAAAAACAACATGAGCTACTGTACTGATGTGGAATGGTTGTCTCAGAGTTCAAGTTATAGATATTTTATAGCACTGCACTTGAATTCATATTATATTTCCTCTTTATAATTTTTGAGTTCAGAAAATTTATTTTATTTAAAAATGTTCTCCTTATACTTCCCTGGTTATGCTATTTTGATCTTACCTGTTCTTTTTAACTATTTGGACCTTTTGCATATTTATACCTATTTAGTTCTTTTCTGGTTCTGTCATTTCATTATGTCAATAAACGAGAGTTTGTTATTTTGAATATTAAAAAATAAAAAAAATAAACGAAGAACATTGATCAGGCCCTCAAAATAAAATTTTAAAGAATAATGTTGCTTTGCCTATATTAAAACAAATGTTTTGTGCATGATTAATATAAACTTTTCCATTCCCTGGCATTCATTCAATGAGTAATGAATAGTGTAATGTTACTTTTTACATAAATACCATTTTTGTAAGCTCACTGTCTAAACATTTATTCCCCTAGGCACTTGCCAGGTTTTTTATATATTAAAGGTCATCAAGAATGAATTAATCATTCAGCATTAGTAATACAATTGGAAGGCTCAAGAAGTTTAAGTATACAGAGTACATTGTAAATTCTACTCAGAACTATTGGACTAGTCCTATCACAAATAGAATGTTTTGATGCTGTACTTCTGTGCATGCACATATACATGTGTGTGCATGTGTGTGTGCGTGCATGCATGTGTCTGTGCAGGTACAGGTAATTTAACACTATTAGAGTTAAATCCGCCAAGAATTTGTCACACTGTTTTTGGATTGGTTTGATGGGCTCTTTTATGAATGATCTGAGTATCAAAATAGAAAGCTATGGATATAGCCACAATGATAAAATGTGCTTGGTAATATTCATTTGTGATTTTATTTCTTTTAAGAAAAATAAGTTAATTTCATGCTCTACATAAAGTTGGTTATTTGAAAGATCTAGTTTCATATACAGACTCTTGGATCAGAAGTAAAGAACCCTGGGCTCATTTCTTGGATTAAGTCTGTGGCCAGAAGAAACCAATGTAATTCCTGGCACATCAGAGTTTACCTAAATTAGATGGGAGAAAAAAAAACAAAAAGCTTTTATTCCAAGGTGACAAAGATTTAAACTCCTAAAATTTGACATTATGGGATAGTAGTATTCAGGATGCTGTAAAAGATGAAGGCATGCTATAAAGAAAAGGGACTACATGCCAACTTTCCATGCGGCTTTTTACCATTATCTGTATGGGTCCCCATGAAGCACCCCAGGATTGCTTAGTTATTAGTTAGTTATTATTAGTTAGTTAGTTATTAGTTAGTTTCTTAGATATGTTTACTAATGAAAAGTAATGTGGTAGGCAGCCGAGATGACTCTTCCTAGGTCAAGGTCCAGAGGCAGTACCATACACTTGGGACTCAGTTAACAATTTGAGAGGAATTGGGACACCATTTGAAGGAATCATAGGGACAAAAGGAATCTGATGCATTATTTTGTGGAATTGAAATGGAGAAGGGTGGCCACCATTATTTAAATCCAATGTGTGATTTTAAAAATAGGGTTGTTCATTCAGGAGGATGTTACAAGGTTGAAGAGATTTATACAAGACTTTTTAAAAAAAGAACTTTGGATTTTATTTTTCAATTACAGTTTACATTCATTATGATTTTGTATCAGTTTCAGGTGTACAGCATAGTGGTTATATTATAGACTTTACAAAATGATCCTCCTAGTATTTTTAGTACCCACCTGGCACCATACATAGTTATCCCAATATTATTGACTATATTCCTTAGGCTGTACTTTAATCCCTGTGACTGTTTTGTAACTACCAATTTGTACTTTTTAATTCCTTCACCTTTTTTACCCAGCTCTCCAAACCCCTCCCAGCAGTCCACTCTCTGTGTCTAAGATACAAAACTGTTCTTAACAGGAGTAGCGTGTCTTGTCTTATCTGCTGAAGATTCTGTGGAAAATCCGGGTCCTTCGACTCTAGGTCTGAGATCTGTACATGATGTCATCTACACACGTGTATTTCAAACTGTGCTTCACTGTTTGGGTCATTAAAAATTAATTTCTAAAAAAATATGGTTTTCTTAGGTCTTCCAAAAGGAACTGGGGAAGAGAACCAGCAGCGTGCAGGCCCTGAAGCGCTCGGCCCGGGAGCTCATAGAAGGCAGCCGGGACGACTCCTCCTGGGTCAAGGTCCAGATGCAGGAACTGAGCACGCGCTGGGAGACCGTGTGCGCACTCTCCATATCCAAGCAAACGCGCCTCGAAGCAGCTCTGCACCAGGTAAACGTCTCGTACGGTACAGCTGGGCGAGAAGGTATTGAAGCCTCCGTGCGAACTGCTGTCGCGAAGAACCCTGAAGCCCCTCCTTTCTTAACCAAGACAGTCACGGGGAAGGAAACTCTTCCAGCATCACCACCTAGGTCCTTCCCCCAACCCCTCCCCCAAGAACTTAAATCACTACCGGGGGAGGTTTTCTAATCTTCACGTAAATGTGCTGCTTGAGTGATTTTTTTCAGCTTGACTGGATAACAGACTGCCATTCATCTACAGGATTGTTAAAATGGCGAGTTATTCTTCATTGATATAGGCCTGTATGACAGATGCTTTCCTTCATTTGTAAAATGCAGCACTATACAGCTTTATCATTTTAATGGGGACAGTGCATATAATTAATCCAATATTATGAATATAAAACTTTTTTTTTTCATTGAGGGAAGAATCTACTGTACTAACAAACGTATTTGGAACTCTTATCTGGGTGCGCGTGTGTGTGTGAACCTATAGGCAGAGGAATTTCACTCGGTGGTGCATGCCCTGTTGGAGTGGCTGGCCGAGGCAGAGCAAACCCTTCGTTTCCATGGCGTTCTCCCAGAGGACGAAGATGCTCTCCGGACTCTCATTGATCAGCACAAAGTGAGTTGATGTACATGCTAAGTAAAACTAAATGAGAAAGTCAATCAGAGTAAAGAAAACAGACTTGTGACTGCAAATATCAATTGCATGAATATTTTTCTTCCTGAGAACTAATTAAAGATCTAGTACATTTGAGAATTCACCTGTGTCCTCCTTGCTCGCATAGGTATGTCCCATGCACCTATACACAAGTAGGTGTAGCTATTTTTTCATGTTCTCTTTATAAAGAAGGTGGTTATTCTAAAATTAGTCATTCAGTTTCCTATCTTTAGGAAGCTCATTGATTTTTGTAGGGGGTTATTTGGCTTCTGATCAAAACTGGGCAATTTTATTACACTTTTATGTGCATTTCAAAGATGAAATGTCTTTAATAAGCAGTTTGGCATAATTATACCATTAGAATTGTAAATTAATAACTTTGACTTTCAAGACAACCAAGTAATTTAATAATTGGTCTTCAGATTTTACTGTTAAGCTCTGCCAATTCTGTTTTTAATCAGAGCCACCTTAAATTCTTTTGAGAAGTAACTGTAGTATAAATTATAAATTGATGCAATTAGATAAGTAGACATATTATTAAATAATTCAGTAAAAATCTGGCCATTGAGTTTCAGATAAAGATCTTTCCTGTGATCATGAACATAACTAGCAAAACCCTCAAGAGAGTGATTCAGAGAGCTCCTAATGGTTTGTTTTTTAACCTTTGACTCTAAACATCAGGAGTTCACAGTGCTGGCACTCGGTATAGTATTGACGTCAGGATTCCTGTTAATTTTAAAGGATCTATTTAACCACTGACTAACCTCATCTTTTAAGGTCAAGTTACAAATACATCACTAATTCCAGGATAGCATGGGTTATATCATCTATGGAGACTTCTTATTTTAATTACTCTGCTCTCTCCGTGATGGATTGCATAACCCATAGCAATGAATTATTGCCTCGTCATTAATAAAAGGGATGTGAGCTTGTATGCCATTATCTGGAGGAGTGAAATGCTACCTACACCATTTCAGGTTGAAGCTAGAGTGTAAGAGTAGGAAAATGGCATCAAATTTATTGTAAATGTTATTCATTTCAATGTTTTGAAAATCGAGTTTATATTACATCACTGTAGGCTGACCATCAGCCAGCATTGAGTTACCCTAACATATTTAGGCTTGGGTCTCAGAAGAGCCCCTTGAAGCCCAGGGCTTCCCTGTCACCCTACAGACAGGGGTCCACTTGTGGTCTCACCACCCTCACAGCAGAGCCAGGAAACCCCCAGAAACACCAGGAGGCAGGTATCCAGAGCACAGGTAGTGGTTTTTACGAAAATAGTAGGTCCTCCAATAATGTCATTTCGCTATCATACTGATAAGATGCTATAGGACCTTAACTCTTGTTTATATCAATTAGCCTATGATAAAATTGATTTTGTTGTGTCATTTTCACTTAAAGTTGCCGAACCAATCAACAATGTTAAGTGAGGACTTACTATAATTTACTTTAAAGCATAAGCTATTTAAATAACATGTAATTTTACAAAGGGCTTCTTAGTAATGATATTTTGCAGTAACATTATTCATTCATTTTTATTTTCTCTGCCTCCCTTCACACATTCACCGATAGAAGAAAGAAAGAATATTTTGTTTAATTTCTCAGCTGACTTGCTGTCTGGCCCATTCCCGCTAGCCTCCCTCAGATTCCTTCCTGGCTGGACATTTGTGCCATCTCTCCCCACACCCTCAACTTTTATACTTCCTTACCCAGCCTTCTCTCTTCCTTGGCACTTTTTTTTGGTACATTTTCCTATCTTTCCTGACATAGTTAGTGCTATTTTAAATACTAAACTCATTGTCTTGTTAGTTTTTCTTCTTTTTTCAATCAATATTATTTCTATCTCTGGTATTACTGTCTCCTAGTCCTACTTTCCATTAAGAATATAATTATAATATATCCAAAATTAGGAGAGAGTATTTCTTGTATAATGTATTTGTACATTGTAAGTGTATAATGTAAAGCATGAGATACTACCCTATAACTGTATTTGTAAATACACATTAGAAAGTGCTTTATTTCCTATTTTTGTGCCTTCTCCTTCCTTAAGTCCCCAACTAGTAGATATTTTCCAGCTGTGAATAAGCCAGTTGGAGGTTTTGTTTATTTGTTTAACTCTTACAGTCAAATGAATGTCACCAGAGTTTTGTTTGCAGCCAGTGCCAATAGCTAATCGAAGTCCTCGCTCCTGCTGTAGGAATTCATGAAGAAACTGGAAGAAAAACGAGCTGCACTCAATAAAGCGACCAATATGGGGGATGCGGTTCTGGCCATCTGCCACCCCGACTCCATCACCACCATCAAGCACTGGATCACCATCATCCGGGCCAGGTTTGAGGAGGTCAGTGTGGCTCAGATCGACTTAGAGTGCAGGAGCTTTGGCGGACGGGGGTGGGGGGGGGCGTTAGGGAAACTTCAGCATTTGAGATGCACTTACAGCCATGGGAACATGAGGCCTCTGCAGAGAGAAATGTTCTTGAGAACATCCTTCCTGTGAGCATCACCTGTCCCTGCAGTCCACTCTTCTTTAAACAGTGACAGGAAGTTTGCAGCCATGTCCCTGAAAGGTGAAAGGGCAGATACTGGCTTTGCTGTGTACATTACTTTCTGTCTCGCTTCTACATTGTGTCTGTTGGATAGCTCAGAGGTCGGATGAAATTTCAGAGTAAAAAGTGCTTGTGGAATGAACTGCATGCACAACGTGAATTAATTCTGTATTGAAGATCTCAGCTACTTGTATTTCTACTCTGTTCCACACAAAGTAAGCCTACGCGGTCCTTTCGAGAATGCATGTTTGAACCTGAGTTAGAGAGCAAAGGGAAGCCTGGGCCAATGATGTACATCTCTCAGCTTCTGAAGGTGACGGACATCACAGAGGGCTCCCAGGTCCTCCACGAGCTGGGGAGCTGGGTCTAGATACCACTGATGGGATCTGGAAAAACTTCTAGCCCAGGATGATTCTAGTTCACATGTAAATTCTGTGTATTTTGCATCAATTAAGTTATTCACGAAGATGGAAGGATTTCCGGTTTCTCCAACAGGTGCTCGCCTGGGCGAAGCAGCATCAGCAGAGGTTAGCAAGTGCCTTGGCTGGGCTCATTGCTAAACAGGAATTGTTGGAGGCTTTGCTGACGTGGCTGCAGTGGGCTGAAACTACACTTACTGATAAGGACAAAGAAGCTATCCCCCAGGAGATCGAAGAGGTGAAAGCCCTCATTGCAGAACACCAGGTAACATAAATACCACTCCTACTTGGTCTTCTCAGACACTGTCTTTCTTTCACTGCTGTAGTGCTTAAAGATTGGTCTGTGCTTATTACCTTCACTTCCTCAAACACACTCCTCAACTCCTTCCAACTGGGTTTCTAATTCTACCACTGCCTTACAATTCTTTTCTCTTCACAGTTACTGAATTTTGATGATCCCTCCTCTTTATCTCCTGTTTTCCCCAAACTCTTTCCTCTTTGGCCTCTGGGAAGTTAAGCTCGCATGGCACTGTCTCAGATCGGCCCCCTCCCTGCCTCTTGCTTTCTAGGTGGCAACTGTCCTTACATTATCCTCAGCTCCCTACTCCATTCACTCCGCTGTCTCCCGATGATCTCACCCTCACTTGTTTGATTGCTCCGTGTCTGCAGTTCCTACTCTCTGCTGCTAAACATCTCCCGAGATGACCGTCAGGACTCCACATACTTCGCTATGTCGTCTTGCTCAAAAAAACTCTTTCTCCTATAGATCCTGCCTATGTTGAACTCTGAAATGGTGGGCGTCACGCTAAGTCTGATTTGTTTGCCTGTTGGTCTGATTTACATTTTACAGAGGGAAACACGGTGTCAGCTTAGTTGGTTAAGCAGTTAACATTGCCATTATATTTTAATAAAAATATAAGCTATCGATGTCTGTCAGAGTTCTCTAGTGTGACAAATATTCCAGAAATGGGTCGTTTTCCACTTTCATCTGCCTCCTTCTTCCCCCATTACTTTCACCGTCATTTCTGCCTTTGCCACGTAGTTCCGATAAAGGAATGCATATAATAATTATATATATACACACACACACACACACACACATACATATGCATGTATATATAATTGACAATATAGTCAACAATAATAATAATAAGCCTAAGGAGATGAGATAAGAAATGGCAAGATATTCAGACCTTTTAAATAGGAACTTTATAACCTGAATAACTTTTACCGTCCTTGGCAAAGCATACTTGTTGACAGAAATATTTAAATATACCCACATTTCATGCAGATGCTTTTTGTTGCTGTATATCACAGCCATCTTAAATATTTGAAGTACGTAGGTGAATGTGCCAGGGAAGTCTCAGGGACCACCCCGTTAACTAGTTCCCTTGCAGAGAAATGCTCACTTGAAGCTCCTTTGGGAAGAGATTGGACACTCGATCCTGGCTGGTGCACACTCAGGTTACATTGTGCATACAGCTGCTCTCATGTGTGGTTTTCAAATGAAAACAAACTGCTTTTGTGATGCTGTAATTACTTACCAGCTATAACATTTCGTATTCTTTAGAAATGTGTAAAAGCTGTGTTATGATGGTTTAGACTTTTCTTCCCCTAAAAATAAAACGTGACGATTTGCTTATTTTTCAGAAATAATAGCATGGTGCTTTTATCTTGTTGTTTTAGTTCATTTCTTTCTTTTTCTTTTTTTTTAAATCCTCACCTGAGGATATTTTTCTATTTATCATCAGATAGAGTGCGACGGAGGGAGAGGGAGAAACATCACTGTGAGAGAAACACATCAACTGGTTGCCTCCTGCATGACCCAACCAGGGCTGGGGGCGAACCATAACTGAGGCATGTGCCCTTGGCCAGAATCAAACGCTCGACTCATTGGTCCACAGACCAACACTCTAACTGCTGAGCCAAACCGACCAGAGCTATTTTGGGTTCATTTCAAAAGGTGGCTTTCCCTGGTATACTTGTATTTAATTGATATAAATTCTTTCATTTCAGTCCTTCATGGAGGAAATGACCAGAAAACAGCCTGATGTGGATAAAGTTACCAAGACCTACAAGAGGAGAGCAGCCGATCCTTCCTCATTACAGTCCCATATTCCAGTCTTGGATAAGGGACGAGCAGGAAGTAAGCCATGACTAGTTTCTTTAAAATGAAGATGGTTAAGTAAGGAAATTGTTTTTCTTTGACTTATTGTTTGAAGTTTTGGAGCAAATGGTGACTCTATACAAGCTCTCTATCATAAGAGCTTTTCTTGAAAGACTACATGGGTTTAAGTTTTATAGCCACCTATTTAAACATAAAGGAAAAGACATGTCCAGGTCACAATATACAAGTTCATTGGCTTGAAGTGTATCTTTTCAATTAGCTAAAAGGAACTGAAAAGTTTGCAAGAACTTTTGGAATTGTCACCAACCCTTTGGAATTGTCTAGTTTTGCTTCTATTATAGAAATAACCTTAGAGTGGAATGGAATAGAAATGGATAAGGTTCCTGACCTAACTGTTTAGTAGTGACCACCAATCTGATAGATTTTATTCATGTTTGTATGACTTCAGGCAACCTTGACCCAATGAAGTGACATTAAAAAAATAATAGCTATCTTGGAGAAAATTTAAAATGAGCACAAGTTATATCATCCATTTTGTATATTTCTGAATGGTGCCATGTAACCAAGTGGTTAAGAACGCTGGAGAAAGACTCCTTGGCTCTCTCCCCACCACTAACCAACTGGAAAATGTAACTTTGGACAAGTTACTTTAACTCTCTTTCTCAGCCTGTTTTCTCATCTGTAAAAGGGAATAATAACTAGAACCTCATTGGACTGTGGTAAGAATTAAAAGTGCTTAGTATACTTTCTGGCACATAGTTAAATGCTCGATAAATATTAGCTCTTGAGCCCTGGCTGGTTTTGCTCAGTGGCTAGAGCATCGGCCTGTGGACTGAAGGGTCTCAGGTTCAATTTCTGGTCAAGGGCACATGCCTGGGTTTCAGGTTTGATCACCAGCCCCAGTCGGGATCATGCAGGAGGCAAACATCAATGTGTTTCTTTCACATCCATGTGTGTGTGTGTCTCTCTCTCACTCTCTCTTTCTCCCTTCCACTCTCTCTAAAAAAAACAATCAATGGAAAAATATCCTCGGGTGAGAATAAACCAAAAAAAAATTTAGCTGTTGATACTCTGATACGTGCAAAGCCCTATGAGAGTTAGGAAATCTGGGCAAATCCCAGCTGGACAGCAACTTCCTATATGACCTTAGGCCAGTGATTTTTCGATGCCACATGTAACTATTTAGTTAGTGAGGGAAATGTGTTGAGCTCATTGTTCAGTGAAGTTGTAGAAATTTGTGAAAAATAGCCAGAAAGAGGGATAAAACTTTAGTAAGGCAGTAAGTTGTGGTGTGAAACTGTGCATAGGAAACACACAACGTCAGTGGAAAATGGACTTGGGTGGAAGCTAGGATCCTACGCACACTTCCATGTTCTGTTGGAACTGTCAAGTATGTTGCTTGACTCTGATGAGTGCCCAGTGTCTCTTGCCTTCACCTGCCTCCACCTGCTCTCCTTTCAGCCTTGTTCTCTGAGAAGGGCAACCAGGTTTATGTAACTGATTCTAATCTACTCTCACTACCCTGGGAGATTTCTTTTATCATGCTTCACAAAGAGGAGGATCATAGCGTACCTCATTCTCATGGAAATGGCATGAGTTTTAAGCTAGAAAATGCTTTAAGAATACATTTACTGAGAGAGCTTTTCAGGATTTAAATGCACATGTCAAGATATATTTCTTTTAATTTTTATGAAGAGCGTGTGATCCTGACCAAGTAAAACAGGTTTGCACCTTGACATTGGGCATCATCTGAAGAAGGTATTTCTATTTGTAATGCCCAGTAATTGAGTTGATTCCATCTTAGCTAGGAACAATGCAGGCCAAGCCTTAGCATCCTTCATGAGCCTGGAAACTGCCATCCTAACTGAAGTTATAATTTCACAGGAAAACGCTTCCCAGCGTCAAGCTTATATCCCTCTGGATCACAGACACAGATCGAAACCAAGAATCCCAGGGTCAACTTACTGGTGAGCAAATGGCAGCAAGTCTGGCTGCTGGCACTGGAGAGGAGGAGGAAGCTGAACGACGCCTTGGACAGACTAGAGGAGGTGAGGGAACCCACATGTATTCAGCACCATGTTGCCATTTGCTCTGTTTACCATAACACCTGCCAAACTCTTGATTTTGCAACGTTCCTGATAATACTTAAGCAAACTCTGGCTATTTGAGTGTGTATGTTACTTCTAAAATAAATTCCACAAGTATGTACATTTTTGTGGTGGTGGGGGGATGTAATATATAGAACTGGGATTTAGGGAAGCAATGAAGTGAAAAACTAAGTTTCAGTGTAATCAGAAGATGACTCAAGGCAAGATCTAGCCCTGGCCAGGTGGCTCAGTTGGTCGGAGCATCATTGTCCTATGCACCAAAAGGTTGTGAGTTCAGTTCCCAGCCAGGGCACATACCTAGGTTGTAGGTTCAATCTCTGGCCAAGGCGCGTATGGGAGGCAACGAATTGATTTTTCTCTGTCTCTCTTTTTGTCCCTACCTTCCTCTCTCTCTAAAATCAATTAAACAAATCCTTGGGTGAGGATTATAAAAAACAAACAAGAAACTATCTAGCTTGATCTATGTGCATGTTGGTATTAACTGGCAAATATAACCATTTGTAATTCAGATATTTTCATTGTATACATTCTTTGATCTGAGGCTTAGAGTCTCAGACTGGGAAATGGTTCCCAGTCCAGGGGAGTTGGAGTGGCCAGTAGCAGAGTGAGGGCTTGCACCGTGCTGCTGGCTGCACCTGACCAGCGGCGTCACACTAGCCACTCCACCCACCACCTTTGTGACTTTGGCACTGTCAGAAATTTTCAGTTTGACTCTTGCGGGAGTTTTTTTTTTTTATTTTCTTGCATCTGTAAAGAAAAACAGTGACCATAGTGACAAACAAAACAGTGACTAACAAAATAAACTTCACAGGATCATTTTTTGTGGTTTCCCCTTTGCAAGGTTATACCTTTCTTTGAAGTGGGAAAGGTATCTGTTATCATCTAGAGGCTCGTTCAAAATGACTTTGTTTGTATAAGCTATAACCTGAGCACGGCATTAACGCAACCAAAATATCTTTTGCTCCTTTCAGCTGAGGGAATTTGCTAACTTTGATTTTGATATCTGGCGCAAAAAATACATGCGATGGATGAATCACAAGAAATCTCGGGTGATGGACTTCTTTAGGAGAATTGATAAAGACCAGGATGGGAAAATAACCCGACAAGAATTTATTGATGGCATTCTTTCCTCAAGTAAGTCCCAAGAGAAGCAATTGAAGCTGATGTAATTTTTAAAGAAAATAAGCACAGTTTAAAATTGTGGGGCCAGTAAACTTGTGTTACCGATAATTGCCTTTAAACTTGGCTATGAGGTCATCCCTATCAAAGAAAAGTGTCTTTGGTGAAATTTATGGCTTTGGAGTCGGGCACACTTAACAAGTTGTGTAACCTCAGATAGATTCCTCACATCACTGAAGCTGTGTCCTCATTAGTACAATGAAGTTAATAATATTTGATTCCTTGATTGTGTGTGTTGCCTGGCAGACGGGAAATCAGCCAGTCAGTGCCTCTTCTCTTTCATTCCCATTGACATTCTAACCTAACATTATCATCAGTAGGAAATTAGAACTCTGTAACATAAACTTCGGGAGGTACATGTCATCCTCTTGTTTGATGGTTCGGTCAAGTGTATGTGAATACTCCGGCATGTGTTACCGGAAGTAATTCTTAGAGTGAATTCTATATGAATTATTCCTTAAGGAAAGTGGTAGTTGAACCATTTAAGTTTGCTAATATTAAACAGTTTTCATCCTAGAAAAACAGCAACTTCTAAGGATTCACCATAGTAGTAATTAAAGATAAATTAAATCCTATATATATATAGTGGTTGCATTTGTTTATTATATAAATCAGTTTTTTTAAAAGGATTTTAATATATTTGATTACCTTGAAAATGTAATTGGCCACATTAAAATATGTACAAATGGGCCCTGGCCGGTTTGGCTCAGCGGTTAGAGCGTTGACCTGCGGTCCTGATAGACCCGGGTTCGGTTCCCGCTAAGGGCATGTACCTCGGTTGCAGTTTGTCCCCGGCCCTGGTCGGTCATGCGGGTGGCAGCCACTCGATGTGTTCCTTTCACATCGATGTTTCTCTCTCTCTCTCTGTTCTTCTCTCTCCCTCCCACTCTACCTGAACAAAAAAAATGGGAAAATGTCCTCGGGTGAGGATAAAAAAAAAAAAATGTACAAATGGAAATGTCTTAAGGCAGAATTAAGTTACATTACTTCTAGGTTTTTTGTTTTGTTTTTAAATCCTCATCCAAGGATATTTTTCCATTTATCTTCAGATAGAGTGGGAGGGAGGGAGGGAGGGAGGGGGAGGGAGAGAGAGAGAGAGAGAGAGAAAGAGAGAGAGAGAGAGAGAGAGAAACATCAATGCGAGAGAGTCACATCGACTGACTGCCCCCCACACGACCTTGACCAGGGCTGGGGACCAAACTGCAACCGAGGTACATGCCCTTGACCAGAATCGAACCAGAGACTCTTTGGTTTGGGGACTGACGCTTCAAACGCTGAGCCAAACCAGCCAGGGCACGTTACTTACTATGTTTTTAAAGACTTAAGTCTTTTTAGAAAATTTTATAGAACGTAGCTGGTCTTATAAAGTTTAATTGGGAATATTGTATGGCTTATACTGAGAGAATCTTAATTATCACTTATATGTGGAATCTAAATAAAAAGTCAGATTCGCAGAAACACAGAAGAAAAGTGGTTGCCAGGTGCTGGGGGAAATAGGGAGAGGTTGGTAAAAGGATACAAACTTTCCATGATAAGAGAAATCAAGTCTGAGGATCTCATGTGTGACATGGTTACTCCAGTTGATAACACTGTGTTGTAATTGAAACTTGCTAAGAGAGCCGACCTTAACCGGTCTCTCTCACAAACACATAAAAGATAACTAAACGCATATGTGAGGAGATGGGTGTGTTAATTAACTAGATGGCAGGAGTCCTTTCTCACAATACATATATCAAATCATTACAATGTACATTTAACATTTTATTTTTCTTTATTGTTTTTAGAGAGAGAGGAATAAAGAGGGAGAGAGAGAGAGAGAAACATCGATGAGAGAGAACATCAATTGGCCACCTCCTGCATGCCCCCCACTGGGGATCGGGCCCACAACCTGGGCATGTACCCTGACTGGGAATCGAACCAGGGACCTCTTGGTGCATGGGTTGACGCTTAACCACTGAGCTACACCGGCTGGGCTACAGCGTACATTTAAAAGATCTTACAGTTCTGTCAATTACACCTCAGTAACACTACTTACTGTTATTCTGGAAATTGTAGAGTTCCCAACCAGTCGCCTGGAGATGAGCGCAGTTGCAGACATCTTTGACAGAGACGGCGATGGGTACATTGACTACTATGAATTTGTAGCCGCCCTACACCCAAATAAAGATGCATATAAACCTGTCACTGATGCGGACAAAATAGAAGATGAGGTACTCATTGTCTTTCCACTGCCTACAACACCAATACTGTAGTGTGTTCTGCTCAGATGTCATGCACAATTCATGCAGCCCTTTTATTTATTTCCATGTTTAGCAGTTGTTTGAAGATGTTAAGCAATCAATGTGTAATATTAACATTAAAGTTAATGCATCATTGTCTTTGGCAGGTGACGAGGCAGGTAGCTAAGTGTAAATGTGCAAAACGATTTCAAGTTGAACAGATTGGCGATAACAAATACAGGGTAAGTTTTTAAAGTAACTTTGTAGTTCTTTTAAAGGATAAAAATGGAAATTTGTTTATAATTTGATGTGCATTGTTTTCCAGGAGTGCTCATTATTTGTTTTTACCTCATATCTAAATGTAATGGTGTATGAATTTCTAACTCTCCTCATTTTAAATTACGTAAAACTAGCCTGCATTTTTATATAAGGACATATGTTTGATATGTACAACATGCCTTTTACTTTTAAGGTGAAAATTATTTGCAGAAAAACACATTTGTTATATTTATGTTGCTTCATATTACTTTGTAATATATTTTATTATGATTAGAGGTAAGTGTTCATATTTCCAATAACAAAGCTATTCCAGGCCAGAACCACAAAGTCAAGAATGTTGTCTAATTTTTATATAATGAAAGGGAGGCAATGTTTTCCCCTTTGCAGTCATTTCTCCTTTTATTCAAAATCTCAGTAACTTGGTTCACCTTTCTCAAAACAATAACGCGAAGACAGTGTGACTTTGTCACTCTTTCTCTTTTTTGGAACATCGCTTATATGTAGTAGCTAGATAGGAAATGTGCCAGGTTTCCCTAATGTAGTGTGTTACTTATAAGTGAAACATTATTCATTTTTATTTTTATATTTCCACATTCAAAAAGATTCATCTAAGTATTTGAATTTTTAGCTTAAATTTGAAACCCAAGGATTAAAGAAAAATTGTATAGAAAATTTTTCCATCATTGGCTTTAAAGTTGGATACCTGCACATCTCTAAACTAGGTACTATATCTAGATGCCCTGAGTGTGAGCGTGTGTGTGTGCGTGTGTGTGTGTGTGTGTGTGTGTTCTAGAGCCATATAGAAAGTTTCCTGTTGAACTAATTATATCTTTCTTCCATTTTTCATTTTTTTTTATCAGTTCTTCCTGGGAAATCAGGTATAATTCAGTGGAATGTATTCTCAAGTTCCCAATGATTTTTTTTTTTAACTTTAATTCATAGTCATTAAAGCTTGCCATGGCCAATCTTTCCCATGCTGCCCCCCTAGCTACTACATTGTTGGTTGGCGTGGTGTTTCTGTAAACGCTATAAGGGTCCTTGATCCAGGATTCCTTTTCGCCATGTGTCTCAAATGAGGAGATTACTTTTAAGCAAACCAGATAATGACTTGTAGTTTGGCTGGTTACAGCGTTACAAATGCAATTTTCCATTTTCATTTTTGATAATGCCATTAGCATATGTTGTATGCCAGTACTCATTGGAACACACATCTCTGCATAGTTTCGTTGGTGTTCACCACTGAGGACGTGGGGTACACAGTAGCTAGAGAAGGATCCACATCAGGCAGGGACACAAGGCAGAGTGTTGAGAGGTCTCCATGGTGCTCAGCCCCAGGAAACGTGTTCTCTGCAAAGCAGCTGTTGTCCCTTTGTTCTAAATCATTGAGGGCTTTGGATCCTGTGCGTAGAAATTTTAACCCTGGAGGTTTTGAATGTTGTCATTCCTGTTGAGGAATTGGATCTCTTGTAACTTATGAAATCTTAGTCACATTTTATGCCATTTTGACCTTGACATTAAAGTCAGTATAAACTGTTCATGGGCACTGCACACAATCAGAATTTTAGAACTTAAGACAAGAGCAATTATGTTTTGATTTAAACAAAGAGAAGAGTTTTTACTGTGTGCTTTTGGAAAGAACCATGCTATTTATAGTACCTGACCACATCATATTAGTTATTAATCTGCCCTTAAGCCCATATTATTATATTTTATTTATTTATTTTTTTATCCTCACCAGAGGACATTTTTTGTTCAGATAGAGTGGGAGGGCGAGAGAGGAAGAGAGAGAGAGAGAGAAACATCGATGTGAAAGGGACACATCGAGTGGCTGCCACTCACACAACCGACCAGGCCGGGGACAAACTGCAACCGAGGTACATGCCCTTAGCGGGAACTGAACCCGGGTCTCTCGGGACCGCAGGCTGATGCTCTAACTGCTGAGCCAAACCGGCCAGGGCCATATTATTATATTTTAAACTTCAAGTTACATATGATCCCCATTTATTCCATCAAATAATTGTTTCAAATAGAAACATTCAGTTACTTTGAATAGCAGTTTTTAAAATTTTTATTTGTTGTAACACATAAAAATTCACTTTTCTAATCTTGTTATTTGGGGTAGTGTTATTTATTTGTAGAAAGGATGAACTACCTTAAAAGATTTTCTTCATTGAAAGCACAAAGAACAGCCTATTTTTTCTTCTCTTACAATTTGGCTCTTGGGAAAGTTAGGGAAATTCTGAAGACTGTGTTAGTTGTCTAGATAATACCTTCTCAAAATGATAAAAATCATTCATATTTATTAGAATTGGAAGTTTTTCTCCATAAAGTACTTCATTTAGTTCCTTAAAACTTTTTTTTGCATGTAATCTTGGGCCAAAAATGTTTGATCTAATTATCTGGTTACTTAAGGGTAATTTTCTTTAAATCCCCTCCTTTCCCTTTGCTTATTAGCAGCACCAAATTTTTTCTAACAAAATAAATATATGTATTTTGATTTTTACACTTTGATTACATTTCAGGAACAGGTTCAATTATAGGAAAGTTTAAATCTCAAGGCTTAAAAATATACGTAGAAATAGCAATGTAAAAGGTTTGATGTAAAACGCATGAGTTCCTGCTGGTGCATTTTACATACTTTACAGGTGCTTCTGAGTTTCAGGGTCTTGAATGGTTTGCTTTGTTTTAGGGTTCACTTCCTGAAACTCAGTGGTAAAGCTTACTGAAAAGTAGGAGGTTGTTTCTGCTTAAAAATTTCTGTTTATCCATCATAAGCCCAGACAAATAGTCGAAGTTGCACTGTATTTTAACCTTCCTTATAAAAAAAAAGAAGCTATTTATGTTTAATTGACTGTTTATTTTGCGATGGTATCTACTGGGTTGGCAACCATGAAATTCAATATGGTGCTATTTGTAAGTTGGACATGAGCCTATTAGAAATGATTTAAAAGTATAAAATGATTTCTCATGGGCTTTCAAAACACATAAACCTTATGATCAGAAACTACGTGTAGTCTAGACATTTATTCAGAACTTGCAGTATTTATAGCATATCCAAGTGATTGGAGAGCCATTGAAAGGGCAAGAAAAAGACACCTGCTTATTACTGTCAGCAGTTTATGGTACAAACAGCTGGAAGAGAAAGAAAGCCTTTTAGATTTGAAAGCTGTGCCACCAATGTACCAGTGACTGTTCTAAAATTACAGGACTATAAAATGGCACATTCATCCAGTCTTTAACAAATGGGTTTGCCAGATTATGAGCGATGCAGTAATTTTATTTGACTGTGAAATTTTTATTGGTCATGTTCATTTACTCCTTTATCTCCCTATGAGTTTATGAAGGTTTCTCCTACAGATTTCAATGGCAAAGTTTTAGCGTAAGAGGAAGTTTTAATGAAGAATCAGAGTTTACTAAATTTCCTTTAGAATCACCTTATATTGTATAAAACCCTAGGCCAGTGCTTATTTTCATGGCTGTGTTTACTTTCTAGAAACATTTCTCAATCACCGCCTTACTAATGTTGTGTCTGTCATAAGAAAGAAACATCATTTCTTGAAGAAATCTTTCATATTAGACTTGGTAACCTTTGTTATCTTTTTTTCCAACTATTTCCTTTGGGCTAAATCAGCATGCAGCAGCCTAACGCAGATCATGACAAATCCCTTTTTCTGAGATTTTACTAATCGCTGTGAACTAAGCAAAATGTTAAAGTTGGTTGCTTAAGCTACTGCAGATCACACACCACCCTCTGGTTTAGAATGACTGTTGACAATTAGCGGTCCTGCTTTCTTCGTCTTCACAGTTTGGAGACTCCCAGCAACTGCGACTGGTCCGGATCCTGAGAAGTACCGTGATGGTCCGTGTTGGAGGTGGATGGATGGCACTTGACGAGTTCTTAGTGAAAAACGATCCTTGCAGGGGTAAGGAGATACTTATGTCAAGATAATAGCACCATAAAAGTATATCAATTTTGTATTCCTTTCCAGCATCAAAAACGTACTCGGGTATAATTTTGGTCATGTATTGCCAGTGTTTCACACTGGTCTGTCAGCCTGAGGTTTCCAAGGGGTTCGTGGCAGTCATGTAAACCATGCTCTTCTCGTTGCTTTTATGCTCCTCTGGATAAACATGGGACAGGTAGACAAGAAATACTAGAATAGATCTTTATGAGATGATCTCATCTGCAATTTTCAAAATGAGCAATTACACCAAATTACACCAGCCAGGGAAAAGATTTCATCTATCATTAAATAGCAAAGCAAGATGGAGAAAAAAACTGAGGTGATGAAGACTAAAGTTACTGGATAATAAAAGTTTAAAAGTTAAAGTTTTTATGAAATTATAGGGAGGTGAGGAAAGCAATACTTAAAGATTTAAAAAAATAAGAACTGCTAGCCCGACTCTTACTTTGAAGGGACAGATGAGAGCATTGAAAATATAAACATATACTATAGCTCTTGCCATGACTACCACCTAAGAGCCCTTGGTCAACTTTTAATTTTCCTTATTTTTCAGATCCTGTTGTAAATTTTGTTGTTGTTGTTGTTTCGTTAATCCTCACCTGAGGATATTTTTTCATTGATCTTTAGAGAGAGTAGAAGGGAGGGAGGGAGAGAGAGAAACCTCAATGTGAAAGAGACACAGTGATTGGTTGCCTCCCTCGAATACCCAGCTGAGGCCAAGAATCCAGCCTGCAACCTAGGTACATGCCCTTGACCTGAATGGAATCTGAGACCCTTCGATCCTCGGGACTACGCTCTAACCACTGAGCAAAACCAGCCAGGGTGTGTTGTCATTTTCTGAATTTTTAATTGATTTACCTTACAAGTGGTCATTTGATGACAATTTCCAGTTAGCTCCCATTCACTCAGCAGGCTCATTTTTTCTTTGGGGGAAAAAAAAGATTTTTGTGCTTTTCTTAAATCTGTGAGCTCATTTTAATCCTTTTACACAAACAAACAACACATGTTTTTGTTAGCCCTGTTAGGCTACCTAGTGGAGGTCAAGGTTCCCCCAGTGGCCTCTGTCTCAGTGCTGGGAACACACAGGTCTAGTGAGGTGGGTGTCTCTGTGGTCGGTCAGCAGCCTCTCTGCTAAGGCGCCCGGGGATCATCCACACAACAGAACTCAGGAGCTCTGCTCTCTACAAGTCAAAGATACAACTGCAAATGGTGTGAGATAACAGTTTCCTTTTTGTTTCATATTTTGAAAATGATGCAGCCTAAGGTAACGCGGCTCCATCTATGAAACAAAGAAATGAGAACATGCAGTGTTCTGGAGAGTTGCTTAGGAAGGGTAGCATGACCGTGGCGGAGTCTTCCAAATACATTTTCCTTATTGAGTCCAACCTTTGAGGGCTTTTCCTGATGCAGCTTTTCTTCTAAACTGTGTGCTAAAGCCGGACCTGCATATTCAACTGCGGTACTTTGTTTCTTCTCCTGCTAACAGTATTCTTTAATGTGATTGGTATCCTGTGTCATTTTTTCTAGTTCATCATCATGGGACTAAAATGTTACGTTCGGAATCAAACTCTTCAATTACTACTACTCAGCCTACTATAGGTTGGCAACCCTTCTCTTTGCCTCTCCCCTCTTACCTTTCCTCTCTCCTACTTTTTACATTCTGGCTTTAATTATTTATTTTTAAAAATAACACGCTTCATCCATTGCGTATGGCTTACGTCATATCCAACTGAGCTGGTGCTTCCAAATTTAAAGTCTGAGCGTTTCACACACTTGCAGTGTGTTGCCAGCATAGGTGTTATGTAAGTGATCAAACACATGCTAACACATTGCTTGTCGGGTTCTCGTGGAGTGCTCTCCGTGCGCACATGTGTTCGTATGACTGTTGCATCACTGATGACCTCCCGGATCCTTGGGCCTGGTGTTTGTTATTGCATGTTGGTAAAAAAAAAAAAAAAAAAAAAAAGCTTTTCAAGGCATAAAATAAAAATACTTAGCTGCCTCATTTCAGTAAAAAATCTGAACGTGTATATGTTGTCATCCTGATTAACAAGCCATCTGTCATTCTGTGTAATTCTATTGTTTAATTAATTAATCCCAAAGTTAAAATCCTGGCATTCTCCCTACCTCAGCAGTACATGCAAAAGACACAGTCCCTGCTTTACTGGCTTGTCTTCTCAGTGTGCGGAAAGGGTAATGAACCCATGTGGGCATCAGTAGCTGGTGGATTAACAATATTTAGCATGAGCTTTCCATTTTCATGCTGACTCTTTCTTTGATAGTGGTTATTCTGGCTGGTGTCTAGTGTTAGAATAAACACACTTTTTTTCCCCCTTTCCCAAGCTCGTCTCCAAAAGGAATGCATTGTAAAGGAATGCATTTACCTTTTTGTTATGCTGAGTTGGAGTTGGCATGGCAAAAAGATGTTCTTCAAATCCTCAGCGTCCTCTGTGGTGCCGGGCGGTCGTTCTTCCATAAATGACTGAGCACCTCTTTTATTCCTCCCTCTTCTGTTTGTGTGCGTGTTGTGTGTTACGCAATCCAGCCAAAGGAAGGACGAACATGGAACTTCGGGAGAAGTTCATTCTGGCCGACGGGGCCAGTCAGGGCATGGCTGCTTTCCGACCCCGGGGCCGAAGGTCGCGGCCCTCATCGCGAGGAGCTTCGCCCAACCGATCGACTTCTGTGTCCAGTCAGGCTGGCCAGGTGGCCTCCCCGCAGGTCCCCGCCACCAGCACACCCAAGGTAGGACTCAGGCATGAAACGTTCTCCTCCTCCCATGCAATCAATGTCTTGGGTAGACTTTTGAATGTTTTAGGATCCTAGAATCTGTGAGCTTTCTCCATTTGTATTCCTTCTCCCAATATGGCAAAAAAAAATTTTTTTTTTTAATATATGCTTTTGCCTGATGGCCCCTATAGAGACTATCTGTTTAGGTGCTGCTTTGGTTACCTTTCAGACTGGTTTTTCATCATAAAGCTTCATTCATTTTTGGGTGTGTATGATTTGCCATCAGACCTCTCCACGTAGTGTTATTTATTATTATTCTTACTGTGAAATGTGAGTCTTTGTGTAATTGTCTCTTTCTATGGCTTTGTTTTTTTTTTATCTGCTATCCTTTACATTTGCTTTGCCATTGTTCCATACAGATCCTCCATCCTTTAACACGCAATTATGGTAAACCATGGTTGACAAACAGCAAAATGTCAACTCCTTGTAAACCAGCAGAGTGCTCAGACTTTTCCGTGCCATCTGCAGAGGTACCGTAAGGCCCCAGATTCCAGTCTAACAGCCTTCTTCCATTGAAACTACCACCCACTAACATCACTGTACCTCTCCCTTAATAGATGTACTTTTGACAATGCTATGACGTTTTAATAGACTTCTATAAAATAACTGTGAACCCAGCAGTCCTTGGGAGGCGTGAAAGTCAAGGTTTCACTGAAAAGACAGATTGTGCTCCTTGAACGATGTCAGCTTAATATAGTCACACCTGCAGTTTCTGCCCCTCCTGGTTTTTGTTTTTGTTGTTATTGTTGTTGTTCTAGTCATTTTTTAATTTTACTTCAGGAGTAAAATACAGGAGATACTATCCAGACTTAAGTAAAGTTTCTTTTAGAGCTGATGAAATGCTTTTGCTTCCACATATAAGAAATGCAGCCAACATCCTTTAGGTGAGAATGAGAGGGATCATCATTTGCAAGAGAAATCACTTAAATTAAAAGAATTTTGATTGACTGTTCACTATAGGTGAGGTCTCACTGAATGTCTGTTACATTTATTTCTGCCCAAGAACATGGGGTGGGGGAGACACATAGCCTTTTAGTTATCAGAGCAGGGGGTTAGGGCTTAGGTATATAAACAGGTGTCATTTTCAAAAAGTATGTATCTTTATTAAACTTTAATGGTTATTATTATTCAAGCAAGCACTAGCTAGCTTTTAAAAAAATATCTTTTCTTTTTTTAAAAAAATATGTTTTTATTGATATTTTTAGAAAGACAGGAAGGGAGAGAGAGAGAAAAACATCCATGGGAGAGAGAAACAAAAATCGGCTGCCTCCTGGTAGCCCCCTACTGGGGATCAAGCCTGCAACCCAGGCACGTACCTAACTGGGAATTGAACTGGGACCTCTCAGTCCATGGGATGATGCTCAATCCACTGAGCCACACCAGCTGGCTGAAGCTCTAGCTTTTTAATATGGCATGATATATAGAGATAAGATATTTAGGTGATATAAAAGTTGCCAAGATTGACACATAGATCATTTATATTTGGTTGAAATTCTTTTAAAGGAACTTCTCTGTAAAATGACCAACATAGGTATCAAAAAATTACATATTTGATTAGAAAGAATCATAATAATTAGAGGGAGAAAATCCCTAAATAACTTTTCTTGTACTGAAGGAGGTATTTCAGGTTAAAGGCCAGGATCCAGGTATAAAAGTGATATAGTGCCTTTAGAAAGCCCTTTATGCTTTTCATAATACTTTCTGATCTATTCTTTAATCCTCAAATCAGTAATAAGATGTAGGCAGAGAAAATTTTGCTACCCTCAGGTCTCGGATGAAAATGAAGGAAATAACATCAATGATAGGGTAGAAATGGAGCAGAAAGAACTTTCTTCAACTCTTCCTCATTCCCCTAGCCCCTCATTTCCACTCCTCCCCTCAAGTGAGAAATGTCAGTATTATATATTACACCTAGAGACGTCTGTCACTCATGATGGATCTATTGTAGCAAAAGCTGAGAACAGTTTAAGGAACCTCAAGCAACATGTTTCTTTTAAATATTTAGAGCTGCTATGTCAGTTCAAATTTTTAAAAAGTATAGAGTCCCCAAAATTAAAGTCTAAATATGTTATTTTAATGAATAGAAAACTATGGTTTATTTCAAGTAGCCTCATCAAACAAAACCAACCAAACAAAACAACAGTGTACTTTTATAGAAGGGTCTTTAAAGGTAGGGTTTATAACAATCATATCAAAACAACCAAGGTATTCTGAGAAGAATGATTTGAGTCTTCCAGGGTAATGAATTCTGCCATCTTGGGTGGTATAGTTCATAATTATGGGTCCTCACTCTGTTATGGATTATTGAGATTCTTAGTTAGGAATTTAACTAGATCAGGGTTGTAGATCTTGGGCAAATCACTTCCCTCCTCAGGCCCTGATTTTTCACATTTGCAAAAAAGGTTGTGATCAGATGAGGGGGAAGATTAATTGTGCTTATATGTGTGAAAATACTTCAAAAACTTAAGTATTATATGTATACAAATCATACATAAATTCTATACTTAAACATATGTATAGAATATGTATGTAAATGAATTATAAATATTACAAATTAGTAACCCTGATGTATCAAAAGGTCTTACATATGCTTTATTGCACATGTAGAACTATTTAATAAAGGAATAATTCATTTTTTTTAATGCACACATAATTTGGATTACTTTCTTCCAAATAGTTTCCTGACTGTGAGTTCATTCAGGAATATGACAATCCCTTCACTTCGCAGGAAATTTGTTTCTTTATTTTTTTAACCTTGGGAGAATTTTCAAAATGTCACAGTGATCTACAGAAATGCAGTGGCTTTAGACTCACAATAGAATTTCACAGTCGTGATCACTTTGGACAGTCTCGGTGAACTCCAGTGAGAGTTTTGAAAGAATTATCCCGAAACCTTGCCTAGGAATCTTGTATGTAAGGGCCACAGAAGTTGACAGAGAAAAGAAATGAAATGGCATCATACCAAATTATAAAAAGTCACTTTTTTTTTTTTTTGGAGTAATTTGTTTAAATGGTGGCTGTCTGGGCTTCATTTATTTACTTATTGTTCTATTTCTGTTGGTTCGTTTCTGCCTCGTTCCCTAAGAGTGTTGGCTGCACCAGAGTATCCGAGCATCGTTCCCCAGAGCCCCCTCTCCCGCAGTCAGCACGCGCCCCCGGCATCAGCTCCGTAATGCTTACGGACAGGCTGGAAGATCCTGGAGTGCTCACAGTTTAGTCTTCCTCTCCTTGCCATCCTTTGGGGAAATCTCCATTTTTGTGTTTCCTCCTCAATGTGAATTTGCTGTTTTGGGAAAGTCCCCTTTGAATTCAGGGCGAGAATGAGAGGTCAGTGGAGACAAGCAGGTGAGAACCGCAGGGCTCGTGGAGGAGGTCTAGCCGAGGGTCCGCGCCGTGGGGCAGTGTGGATGGGCTGGCCGTGAGCCGTAGCCTGAGACGCCCTTTCACTGATTGGCTCATAGCCTGAGACGCCCTTTCTCTGATTGGCTACAGGGGACGCCAATACAAGGAAGCAAGCTTCGACTTCCGGGATACTTGTCAGGGAAAGGCTTCCACTCTGGGGACGACGGTGGCTTGATCACAACGGCAGCCTCCCGAGTCCGAACACAGTTTGCTGGTGAGTGTGGACCTGTCTTTCTTTCGCGGCTTTGCAGTGTGCCCCGAAGAGGAAAGCCCCCTGTCCTCCCCACTGGGAAGAGATTACCAAGTGACACGTAGCTCCAGGCCTCCAGTAGAGCTAGGGGTAAATGAGTCATGCAAATGAGCGGCTAGAAAATCCACTTTGAAAAATACCAGAGAAGATGAGAACAGAGGAGAAACTACAACAGTATCCTAGCTGTGTTAGCTGGGAAGTCTTGGTTCTTCTGTCTGCTTGGAAAGTGTCCTGGGCTGTATTACGGGTGGTTGGAAAAACCAGCCATACTGGGCCTTACACCAGAGCTTCATGTTTCTTCACAGAGCAGTGAACCTAACCCTTGGGGCTCTGGGCTCTGCAAGCATGAAGTTCCTTTAAAGTTTCAAGTACATTCAATTCCCGTGTGCTTCGAAGTACTTATCCTCAGGCCACACCTGGACCTGAGAGTTTGTTCTGTGTTTGCCTGCACACGTCTGGGTATACAAACTAAACTTTAGAAAGCATGACCTTCAATTATAGCTGTATTCTTTATATCTATTTGTAGTAAATGGAATCCTGTGGTTTTGTTTTGTTTTTTATTCCTCACCTGAAGATATTTTTTTTCTACTTATTATCAGACAGAGTGGGAGGGAAGGAGGGAGAGAGAGAGAGAAACATCAATGTGATAGAGCCACATCGACTGGTTGCCTCCCCCACGACCCGATCAGGGCTGGGGATGAACTACAACTGAGGTATGTGTCCTTGACCGGAATCGAGCCTGCAACTCATTGGTCCTCGGACCGACGCTCTAGCCACTGAGCCAAACCGGCCAGGGCTGGACTCCTTGTTTTAAGCAGGGTAAGCCCAAACCTAAATTTTGTTAGTACATCTAGCTTGCGATATATTGCATCTCCTTAGAGTGAGGCTGCCTACCCTTGTGGAATGGAGAGAGCCAGGAACCCACAGCATTGGCTGAGTGCCCACAGGGTGTCCAGAGTAATTGCTGAGATTCAATGTGGCATTAGGTTTCAGGAGTCTCTTGCAGATTGACCCAGTAAGAAGGGTGACCCAGCTCTGCCCTTTCTCCTCAGATGCCAAGAAGACTCCCAGCCGACCAGGAAGCCGAGCCGGGAGCAAGGCCGGGAGCCGGGCCAGCAGCCGACGAGGCAGTGATGCATCAGACTTTGACATTTCAGAAATCCAATCTTTGTGCTCAGATGTGGAGACTGCCCCCCAGACACACAGACCTTCGCCCCGAGCAGGTTCTCGGCCATCCACAGCCAAGCCTTCCAAAATCCCCACGCCCCAGAGGAAGTCACCTGCCAGCAAATTGGACAAATCCTCGAAGAGATAGTGCAGTTGGTTCCACCAAGGCCCTTCCTTGAGCATTTATTATTTAAGTTTGAACGATGTAAAATATGATGTAGAAATTATTGTGAAATATTGCAAGAGGTGAGTTTAAAATTCTGCAGATGGCCTTATTTGTGTATTTGTCTTTTTATTTTATCTGTATAATTTTTTTGTCAGATATTCTGGGGCTAAAGTCACATTATATGTGAGGGGAAGATAGAGTTTAACATGCACTAACATTTCTGCACTGTAAAGTCTGGAGCACACACTACAGTCAGTTCCCGTACCTGCAGGTAAGTCCGCGCCTTCTGAAGCCACAGCCCTCCATCCGTAGCTAACGTTAAGGATACCTCATGACTTTTTCTTGCTTTTGTGGAAACTCTGAAATGAGGAAAGACACACACAAGGGATGTATTTCGCGATGATTTAAATGTAAACTCAAAGCCGGAGGCAGAAAGACAGACACCTCCACACACGGTTCTTGAAGCTGTGTCTGACAGAGAACTCCCAGGGTTACTGTGCGCACTCGCCAGTGCCCTGACCCTTACCCCATTGCCGTGCCATTGCTCACCCGAGGCCAGAGGTGTCCTGGATATCGCACCCACTACACTGTAAGGATGTCATTATAAAGTGCATTCATGTAAACGTGAGGTTTTCTTTTGCTTGAGTGGACAGTAGCACCTGTACCATTGAACTCATTTTGCATTAAAGCAATCTTGCTTGCAGACAGCTATGAAATAAAACATGTCCCTTAACTCCATTGCTATGGAATTAATTTTTTCCCCCAGGGTAAAAATCGGTGTATTTTTTTATGAGCAATATCAATTTGGAGTGACCAAAAGATACTTAAAAATGGGTTTATTTTGATTTCTCATCTGAAATAATCATGTTCTGGTATTATATCTATATTTAATAAATATATACATTTTAACTTATTATGTATACTCACTATAGAAAGATATTAGTATGCATTTAATAAAACATATTCACTTGAACGTATGGAATACCTGATTATTTAAAGTGAACTTTTCCTGTTGTTTATTTTTATTGTTTAAAATAAAGGTTATATGTATGATGTATTTTTACTGATAGTGTAACAGGCTCAGCTTGGGTGACATCAAACACAGGGATATGATATTATAATAAATATATATACATTAACTACTCATTCTACAAATATATTTAATAAGTGCCAACCATGTGTCAGCCAGTTGGTGACCCTGAGGCTACAGGGTCCCTGCCCTCTTATATTCAAGGGGGAAAACAGTTAATAAACAAATAAATCACCCAAAAACATAAGCTGAAACCAGGAGATATGGGACAGGGTGACTGGTTTTATTGTAGTAATATTCTTCTGGCCAATGTACCTTTACAAGGCAAATGACAGACTTTTCCTAAATATAAAAATGGTATCAAATGTAATTAGAAGGATGGCAGATTGTTACTTTGGGCACGACAGGTCACGACTTTCCCTGTAACTTTGTACATTTATTTCAGCAAATGACAGTGGATATTATGTGTTCCCTGCTTGGCCTTTTTCATGGAGGCAAAGTTGAAGAAATCAGGTGCCACTTTTACGTGATAGTAATTTCTTCTTTCTGAACACATGGGTCTCCGGGGGGAGCCTTGATGGAAAGGGTAATTCTAACCCAAGAGATCACATGTTATAATTCATGCCTTTGATTACAAGCATGTCACCCAAGAAGGCCGTTGAAATAGTTGTTATTCCTTTGGTCCTTTTGCATGTGATCCCATTTCTACTTCAAAGACTAATTTAAGGGAATGATTTTATCTTAGCCGGTTTGAATGCCACCCCTGTTAAAGAGCTAGGGGTTTTGCTTTTTTTTTTTTTTTAGTAGTAAAATAATCTTTTGGAGAAAAATAAGTGGTTTAACATATTTCAGAGAAGTCTTAAGGAAAGGCCCTTGGCTATCAGCAGTTGTCCTCAGGGGGAACTTTGCAAACTTAGATGCCTGATTCTTGTTTCCTCAATCCCAGAGCCTCGGGCTGACTTGGAAAAGTGCTCTTGTGTTTCAGTGAGTGCACAGACACACCTCTACTCTGCACTTTCCTTCTCTTTTCCTTCTTTCTTTGTTCTCTTTCTTGCCTGCCTTTAAAAACAAACAACAAACAAACAGGACATCGGAATGAATCTCAACCCTAAATATCTTAATGTAAAGATTGGTTCTGTTAAGAGATAAACTGAGACATATTAAAATTTTAAGAGTTTATTTGAGGAAAATGTATTGGAATCTGGTAGAGTCGAACTGAAGTGCTTAGGAGCACTCCACCAGCAGGAGCTCGCTGGGAGACACAAGGAAAAGGCAGAAGCCCCCATGTCCATCAGTAGACGAATGGATGAAAAAGCTGTGGTACATATACACAATGGAGTACTATGCAGCTGGAAGAAAGAAATATCTTATTTTTTGAGACGACATGGAGGGACCTGGAACATATTATCCTAAGCGAAACAAGCCAAACAGAGAAAGACAAGTATCACATGATCTCACTTATTTGTGGAATATAATGAACATAACAGTCTGAGGAATGGGGTAGTCTCAGAGACGTGAAAGTGGGGTACAGACTGACAATCCCCAGAAGAAGGGGTGGTGGGGGAGAGATAAACCACAGAACTTACATGCATGTATGCATGAACAATGGACATGGACAACAAAGCTGGGGACAGGGCGGGGAGGGCTAAGGAGGGGGGAATCGGGAGGAGGGAAGGAGAAACATCTGTAACAAAAATAAATTAATTAAAAAAAGAAAGAAAAGGCAGAAGCAAAGCAAGGAACTGCGGACTGGCTGCAGCTTGTCTGTCTTTGGTGCTCCGATTCTGTAACCTCAAGGCATTTACAGGCTTAGATTTGGGTTTGCTTACATAGAATACAGCCCGCCATGGCCTTAGGGCCATCTCTGTCTAGTGGCCTCCTTGTTTAATGGACAGCTCCAGGTTGAACCTTCTCCACTATGGCCACTGTGATTCAAGATTATATTTGTGAGGTTAAATTGTTTGTTCAGCTTTAAAAGAAAATTTTATCAACCTGAGGCCTCGCACTGGCCCCTGTCTGGTTTCCAAGTCGGCCCCAGGCCACCCCCAGATCCAGTCCGACTCTGGCTGGTTTCCAGACGAGAAAAAGAAATGGTCAAATCAAGTCTGAAAGCACACAACATAGACGCTGCACGTTGAAAGCAAACTAGGAGTTTGGGAGCTGCTGGGACGCCCACTCTGTCCTCGGGGCTCCGCAGATGTTGACCATGAGAGGACACTGTGGAGGTCACTGAAGGACAAGCACCAGTGCCAGTCTGTGAAGGTGAATTTCTTCTTCCTTTCAGATGAAGCGTAAATATAGATATCTCATTTCCCCCCTATCCTAGGAGGTCACCGTGCATACGTCCTATTGTAAGGATCACTGTTAAATTGATCCTTAACTGTTAAATCACGGGTCTACAGTTTTCTTCTCTCTGCCTTTTCTGGAGCATCTTTTTCCACAGGGTAGAAGTATGCTACCAAGTTCCTTCCCCCTCTGCTCCTAGCTCTTCAAGGGTACACACCTGTGCTGGTGGTTGAATGTAACTGAAGGCATTCCTCATTTTATTGTGCTTTGCGTCATGGAAGGCAAGATCCTCCACCACCAAAAAGACCATGACTTGTTTTATTGTGATACTCACTTTACGGCAGCGATACTCGCTTTACGGCAGCGATACTCGCTTTACTGCAGTGATACTCGCTTTACTGCAGTGATACTTGCTTTACTCCAGTGATACTCGCTTTACTGCGGTGGTCTGGAATTGAACTAGCAATATCTCTGAGGTATGCCTGTGTAGTCCTGGTTAGCTGTTCTCCAAAAATGCAGTTGGGGTTGGGGGGACATACCAGTATTCTTTTTTTTTTATCCTCACCCAAGGACATTTTTTCATTTTTTGTTCAGATAGAGTGGGAGGGGGAGAGAGAGAGAGAAACATCAAAGTGAAAGGGACACATTGAGTGGTTGCCACCCGCACAACCAACCAGGGCCAGGGACAAACCACAACCGAGGTACATGCCCTTAGCGGGAACCAAACCCGGGTCTCTCCGGACCGCAGGCCGACGCTCTAACCGCTGAGCCAAACTGGCCAAGGTGTATACCAGTATTCTTGAAGGCACAGTTTAGTTTTGGCTCTTGTTACCTCTCGTGCTTCTATAGTGACCGCCTGTTTATCTCCCCACTTCCAAAGTCTCCTCCAGACCTCAATTTGGAGAAATTGACCCCCAGGGGAGGGACATGCCTTTGATATGAAGGACTGGAATAAAGGGTGGTTAAGAGGGGACAGGAGAAGTTGAGGTGTTACCCTGCACTGACTTCTGTCAGCAAAGTAGATGTGTCCTGCCTGGAGTTAAGGAAACAGTTATAGGTGAAGGTGTTTGAGTTGAACAGAGAAGATTTGAAAGAGCTGAGACCTTGGGTTTATAGTTACCCTGATCTACGGGGTTCAGCCTGGTGTAGGAACAGAGAGGACAGGAAGTTCATTAATCTAGAGCTTGAGATTTTCCAGCCAGGTTAACAGAAAGCAAGAGACTGGAGCAGTGGAAGGAAGCAGAGTGAAGGATAGGTTGTTCCCTCAGAATCAGGTGTTAGGTACCCAGAAGAAAGGGTTTGGAAGGAGGGCAGACCATGGGAGGGAGTTGGATCAGGGTGGTAGAAGGCTAGAGCAGTCTGGACGAGCACACAGGAGCGGATGTATTGCCAAGAGGGACGTATTTGGGGCATTGTCTAAGGATTGCAAGAATGTGAATTTTGGTGGCAGGTTAAAAATTAGTTTCAGCTGTTACAAGTCTTCATTGATTTTTATTGTGCTTATAGCAGGATCTGCATGGAAAAGCAACAGTCACCCCCCTAGAGTGGGGGCGAAGGTGGAAGAGCCTGCCTTTCAGCGCGGGTTGGTTGTGCTTCAAAACCCCACGTAGGCTGACCTGTGTGCACATATGTGTGTAGCTCTGGCTTTCCAAGAAGGCAGGAGTCTCAGGCTTCAGAATCTAGTTGGGGGCATGAGTTAAGAATAGATTATCATAAAGGCTACATTTCTGAAAGGAGGACCAACCAGGTAGAAAAATGAACATGGTTAGGTTTTTTATTACTAGTGTAGAAAAGTTTGTTTCAAAAATAACCAGTCAGCGAACATATGTTCTGGTCAATAATTTAGTCATAATATACCTGCCTGAGAATTGACCAGTGAATTCAGGAGGACCAGAGCAGTTTAGAAGCAATGTCTCAGATGTAAACCGCAGACTTTACAATGCCGTATCTGATCGTGGATTAATTTGGAGTTACTTCTCCTGGGAGACCTTTTATTTGCTTCCTTAGGTCCTTGATTATGCCCATATTGATTTTTGTCTCACTTTGGTTTAGAAAACTCTTAACACAAATATATATCTTATATGAGGTTCTCAACCAGTCATTGAAATGGGAGATACGTATTATTTGAATTTTATAGATAACTTAAGCTAGAGAGGTTATTAGTCCAGGCTCACACAGCTAGAAAATGAGTAGATAAATTTTTTCATGCTGAAACCAATAATCATTTGACCCCACCTCACCATTTTATCAGGGTCTGTGCATTCTTCTCTAAGGATGGTAACTAACATAAAGAAGACATGATCATGTCCTCTCTCAGGAAACCACATCATACCTGGATTTTCCAGAGCAGCGAAGTTTATCTTAAGAATAGTTTTAGTCTCTTCTTTGCAGAGTTGGAAATGTTTGTGTTCCATAACTAGAATAATTTTCCATTGTTTCATGTCTCATTGAATTATCTGGTTCCAAAAAAGGTAGTGACCTTTTAAAATTGGTTTGCTGGGTATGATGGTTCAACTTGAGGCAGCTAATATTTAACACCCCCTTTCCCTCCAACCATTTCAAGATGTATAATGAGTTCCTCTTCAAAGTTGCTTCATCATTTAACTACGAAAGTTCTTGTTCCTCCTGCTGCCAAACTGGTATCCTTAATGACTTAC